CCGGGGAAGGGCGGAGGCGGACTCGGAAAGTTCCTGTCGCCGCGGGAGCGGCGCCGCCGCCGGCACGGCCCTGCCCGGGGGCTGCGGGCGGCCCCAGCCGGGACGGCGCTGCGTGCGGGGCCGAGGCCGCATCATCGCCGAGTGGCGGATCGCGCGGCACCCTGTCGATGTGCTGCGGAATGCCTCTGGGTTCGCGTCCCGGAGCGGCTCCGCGCTTCGCTTCTACCGAGCGGGCAGCGCCCGTGGGTTTCCTTCCTTAGAAGGATCCATCCCGTCCTGTGCGGTAGCGGAATGAGCTCCGTGACAGGCTTAGTGCGAGTGTGCGCCGTGTGGAAGGGCTGTGTGCGTGCACAGGCATCGCGCTTGTGGTAAATATAGGTAGCGTTCCAGCGAGGCTGGTATAGCTGAGCTTAGGCTGCGTGTTTGCACTGATTTCCCAGAGCAGACCCTCTCACGTCATACGGCTTTCCCGTTTCCTATGGTGTTGGTTAGGTATTGCTCGTTTTTGGTTCTACCCCTAAGGCTTGGTGTTTTTTGTCTTTGGTGTCTGTGAACGCAAAAGTAAGTAATCTTCAAGCAAAACTGAAGGCTTGTGAAGCTGCTTTGTTGAGAAAAGCACCTCGGTGTTACAGCTGCTGCCCTTATTCTCTTCCTGTTTATGTCCTTTGTGGGTACCCTAGTTAGCATGCTCCTTAGGGCACAAGTGGCCCTTCCAGGTGTCTTTGCCAACAGTCCAGCAGCTCCTGGGTGTTTGTAGGTCTTACTTTGTAGATGCCTGTGCTGGAAATCCAAAAGGTAACAGTTTATTCTCTCTTCTGTAGCCCCATTAGGAATTTTGATTGCCGTTTCCTTCCAGTTTATATAGCCCTGCTTCTTTATGCACCTATTAGAACGCAGTGGCAGTGAGTTGTTGAGCTGTTATGTTGGTGAATAGGAGCAGTATATCATCTGTTGAATGAAGTCCTTTATCAGTTATCAGCCATAGCTCTAGTGAGAATAGAACCACAGAATAGTTTTCAGTAGGAAGGAGCCTCGCGGCCCACTCAGCCCCACCCCTGAGCCATGGGCAGGGCTGTCCCCCACCAGCTCAGCTGCCCAAGGCCCCATCCAACCCAGCCTTGAACACCTCCAGGGATGGGGTACCCACAGCTTCTCTGAGCAGCAGTGCCAGTGCCTCACCAATCTCTGAGTAAATATTTTCCTTCTGACATCTAATTATTAAATCTCCCCTCGTCTAGTTTAAAACCATTCCTTCTCATCCTATCACTATCGTCCTGTGTAAAGAGTTGATTTTCTTTCTGTGAAAGTTTATACTGCATGTGATAAACTGGCACTCCTATTCAAAAATTTCATTTAATTCTTGTAAAAATGTCTCTGATTTATTTATTTTTGTTAATCGTTTTTTCTTCTTCAGGGAATGAAAAATATCTAAGCTTACTAATTTTTGAGTCCCATATGGTTCTATGCCTCTTTAAAAACTGAGTGCTACATAATATCTGTGTATTTGGACCGTATACAGATAATTTTTTCCCTTGAAGACATTGCATGGGCAATCTGAGGCTGTTTATTTTCAAGCATCTCGGTCACATTTGGCTAGAATCAAGTCCTGGTTAATTAACTTGTTTTGACTCAACTCCGCAAAAATAAGTGAGAACAGAAACTAGTTAGAAATGTCTGACATGACCTCATACTAAAGAGTAAATATGATGGTGTTTAAACAGTTGATCCTATCACTAAAAATCAATGCACTGCCAAATGTGCAAATGTGACTCAATTGAGATCTGCTTGGGTCCAGATATGGTTGCATGCACATGTTTTAACATTTGACTTGCCAGTGCTTGAAGTGCTGAATCAGATGGTACAGCATCTTGTAACAAGTAGTTGGTGTCTGGTCATGAAAAAATCACAGAAATCCAGGATTCAGTCATGAAGTGATTGGTTTTAAAGGTTGTGGCAGAATTCCATTGTAATCAGACATGTAGGCATTAACTGTTGTTTTTCAAATGAACTAATGTTCTATTGCATGCTATGCAAGTTCTCCTGTAGTTAGAGTTTGTGCTCCTGCTCCTGTTTTCTAGTTGTTTTGAATAGAAGTATTAAAATGTATCCTGAGTACGTTCTACATACAGGTTTTCTGAGCCTTGGCATTATGTTTTTTGGATGTTTCTGTGCATTTGACAAATTTGCTTCCCTACCTACGAGCAGCTCTGCATATGCCTACAGAGCAGAGCTGTGGTTTACTCCCCCCCCCCTTCTTTTTTTATTGAGTTCTTTCCTGCTCTGCTAAATTTCAGTATCTGAAGGAGCCTACAGGAAAGCTGGAGAGGGACTTTTTATAAGGGCGTGTAGTGATAGGACAAGGGAAAATGGCTTTAAGCTGAAAGAGGGTAGATTTAGACTAGATATTAGAAATAAATTCTTTACTGTGAGAGTGATGAGACACTGGAACAGGTTGCCCAGAGAGGTTGTGGATGCCCTGTCCCTGGAAGCGTTCGAGACCAGGCTGGATGGGGCACTGAACAACCTAGAGGGAGGTGTCCCTGCCTATAGCAGGGGGGCTGGAACTAAGTGATTTTAAAGGTCCCTTCCAACCCAAACCATCCTGTGGTTCTAAATTGCTGTTAATTAAAAGATGTGATAATGTATTGGGCAGCATGAAGTCTGGTTTGTTTTGTGTATCACACAGTATAAAGAGACTTAACTTCAAGTTTTAAGTAGAAAATGTTACTAATTTATGCTGTATTTGAGCAAATGGAACTGGTGATTCTTCTGCTCGAAAGCAGAGTTGAGTTAATGGCAAAACAACTTCCTGCATTTCATGTGAAATAACTGTATCTTTTTCCCTACAGGCAGAGTACAACGTTTCAAAATGCTGGAGGTTATCTGGGTGAATTTAGAGGTTACATTTAATGTGTTTGTGTCTTCAGAAATTCTGCTCCTGCATTTCATGAGCTAAAATATTTTATAAAGATGAAGTTGGATACCTTTGCTGATCTCCGAGTTGACCACGTCCTGTGAATTCAGACATCTTCTGAAGAAGGAGATTTATCAGACACGTGGACTTCTGTTGTTGCCTAAGGACACCCTTCTCTCTCTCTCTTTTTTTTTTTTTTTTGCATTCTGAAAGACTATCTGCATGAAGATGGATTTGCATGTAGCATACAGGCTGTTGGGTTAGATGAGAGAGGACGCTGTTAATGAATGACCAACGTTTATTTCCATCTGCGTTTCCAGCTTTTTTTTTTTTCTTTTTTTTTTCTTTTTTTTTTAACACAAAAATGAAGGACAAGTATAAAACAACAGTGCTGGTGTATTTCTCTGGGGCCTTTATGTAAGCCCCCGTTGTCTGGACCCGGTGCTAAGGGAAAGCAGTCTGCTTCTGATCAGCTGATTGTGGCTGATCTGTGGAAAGAGAACCTTTAAATTGAAGCAACTTCCAGCTTCTGGCTTCCACATAATGAAAGGGAAGATGAACAAGTTTTACTGGTCAGGGGCATTTTGCTGAACGAAGAAAGGGAAAGTTAGATTATCCTTGTTTAATTTCAAACCAAGAACTGACCACATTTTTCTTAGAATTTGCCTACTAGGGAGATCTCGACAGTTTAAATCAAGTCAGATGTCAGCAAACGACTCTTCTCCCCCATCCTTACAGAAGTTTTCCCCGCCCACATGTCATGCTGCTGCACCACAAACCCCAAGTTTGTCTTCGAGTCCCCTGTCGGGACTCTCCAGCCGTCTCTCCAATGGCAGTTTCAGCACGCAGAGCCTCACCAACTCCCGGGGCTCTATGCATGGGGTCTCATTCCTTCTGCAGATTGGTCTCACGCGGGAGACTGTCACCATTGAAGCTCAGGACCTGTCCCTCTCTGCTGTTAAAGACCTCGTGTGCTCTATAGTTTACCAGAAGGTATGGTATAACAGCACCACATTCTGCTGATGGCAGTGGTTGTTTTCTAACAAGCTGCTAGGAATATCGGTGTGAAATGCACGGCGAGTCTGATACAAAGATCCCTGGTAGATGTTTGCAGTTGCACACAAAGAGATTTAGCTGACTGCCAGGATAGAAGCTTTCAATTTAAACGGAATAAACCTTTCTGTTGCATTCTTGCTTGTGAAATCCAATAAAAGAAATGTAGTAGTAAGCTGCTTTCAAGGATTAGTTTTCACAGTATGGTGAATGTGTTTTTTGCTTTCAGTGACTGTCATCAGAGTTCCACTAACTTTGTCATCAAGTTTTTACTAAAGTTTGTCCTTCCTCCTGCTGTTATGAGGCATTCTTGGTACAGTACAGCCAGCTGTAATCAGAGGACCAATTGTGGCTACAGAAATACACTGTGAGCCTGCAGACTTGCGTGATGCTAGCTTTTGTTGTTGTTTCTAGTTAGTAATTAAAAAAAAACAATCAACCCCCAAAAAACCCAACAACAAACAAAAAAAACCCACTCAACAGCTCACACTGCCCCGGCATCATTCTTCCTTATACCAAATACAGGCTCTACTCTTCTATGAGAAGCCTGTTAACATAATGCCTACTAAGAGATGGTTGACAAAAAAAAAAAAAAAAAAAAAAAAGGAAGAAATCTTACCATACTTTTGAAATATTGGCCAGACTGTTGCAAAATTCTGTCTGAGAATGGAATAACATTGATGTCATTTTGTACCCGCGTTTTATCCTTATTTATGTTAGGCAGGTTAGATACTACTAACCAACCTGAGGAACAGTTAACACCGTTTCATTCAATTAATTATGAAATAATTGCTTTTATCCCTAAAGGAAGTTGAGGATATGTTATTTTGTAGGGAATTGCTTTCTCCCTGTCCTTCACTGTAATGGTTGGCGTCTTTTATTGATTAGTCTTACTAGGTAGCTGTTTTTCCATTAGTATTTGAGAGAAACTGAATGCAAATATTATATGAACTCTTGTTTGCATATACTTGCATATCTTTTTCCCCATCTCACAACCCATTGCATCTTCCAAATGTTTACAAATTAGTTGGCAGGCAAGTTGATTTCATAATAATTTTATGGCTTACCACAATGTGCTTCATCACGTTAGTGCCTTTCTAAACAGACAAGTTATGTGGGTCAATTTTTTTTTTCTTCTGTATTTTTTTTTCCCCCTGTGCTACATGCGTTAGGTGCGATTTTTGCAGCCATTTTAGGGCCTTTTTCTTTCTGTGTAACTCCCTCTTGTGTGTGCATATATCCTGTCTTCTCTCTTGAAGAAAGATGAAAACAAATATATTCACGCTTACTTTTCCTTTCTGTTCTCTAGCTCAATTTCTTGGTATGGCTTAAGGAGCTTATTACATGCTGAGCCTAATCTACTGCAAAACTGGTAAAGATTTTGGGATCAGAGTTTGCCTTTTCCCATCTGGCTTTGTTTCAGTGCATGCTCTGCAGCTGATGCTACCAGTACTCAATGAGTGCCTGCTTGCAAACAGCAAACTCACCAGGAAATGTACGGTAGATTCATCTTTCGTGAGTTGTTCTGCACCCAGTGCACAAGTGGCAATATCCTCCCTCCACCCTCTGTCTGACAGTAAGATGTCCTGCCTGCATTTTATTCATAGAGCTGGTGGCTGTTGCAAGCATATTGAATGTGTTAGTGCTAATATATAAATCCCTGATTTGTGTAAAAAGCTGTAAACAGTGTTCTTCTGCTGTGCATATGGCTGTCTGTTTTTTTCCAGTTGCAGACATGAAGCTATTGGGCATGCCTTTGAAATTCAGTGGTGTTAAAGCTTCCCTTTGCTCTGGCATTCTGCAGCTTGCTCATACTGTCTTTTCTTGACCAATTCCTGGTTATCACTTTTTGGATATTGTAGTTTGTTCTTGTGATAATTCTGCAGTTAGCCTGCAATTTACTGCTGCATTTTTTTTAATGAAAAAGGACGGAGATCTTTCATATTTGGAATTGTTCATAGCTTGTCTTCTTATTTGAATGGTATTTTACTCTATTAGGATTAAACAGAAGTTTCCTTACTCATTTAAATCATATCTCAGACTCGTATTTCTCTGCCTATCTTGAACAAAACTTATTTGAGGGAGCAGTTTGGTTAGAAACTAAGCACTGTGTTTACCTAATGCATTTTCACAGTGTTTTTTGTCTTACCAGTCTTAATGTGTTGGTGATGATCAGTTGTGCTTCCTGTTTCAGATGCTGCTGTTCTGTGCAGCTTGTTCAGTGTTTGCAGAAGGGTGCTTAAAAGTAGCATCAGCAGAACTGAAACTAAAGAAGCAGCAGGCATGTATTTGCAGGAGAGAGTGATGAGCAATGCAAAGATTTGATGTGTCTCACAGCTCTGTTAAATATGGCCAACATCAGGAGAGGAGCAAAACTACTTTTTCAGGTTGAATTTGTGGATTGCTAAGTTAATGATTTTGCATATTGGAATGCTTAAAAGAAGTCCTCAGCAAAGCCTGGCTTGAGACACAATAGGGATGCTTCAGAAGATTATTGATCGTAGTCTTAATCCATCTTTTCTGTTCATTCCTTATGTAGATTGCTGTATATTGAAGTACCAGACGTACAGTTGTCAGGGAGAGTCTGAAGAAGAACCAAAGCAAGAACAGATGGGAATAGAAAGTGTGTTTAAAAGCAGAGAGCTGTCTGTAGGAGAAGCTGTAGATGGGCAGAATGTGTCCTTGCACTGTGATAAAGTGTTACAGAGACAAGCTCTCAATCTTGCGTTTAAACACTGTTTGTTCCGGATATGAAGAAGCAGAGCGTGCTGCTTGCTAGTCTAAAACTAGAAGCTTACATGTGGTGATGCACCGCTGTCTGCAAGCTGAGAATTATGTAAGGCAGCATATGGTGTTATAAGTGCTTTATTTCAGTTTACTTATTTCTCCTAGTTAAAGTAAAAGCTGTAAATGAAAAACATTTTATTGTTCTGTTATTACTTCAATAGCTTGAGTATTTGCAAGGCAAGTTTTTCTTAAGCATGTCTTTACTTATGTGACTTTGAAACTTCCCTTATCTACCCTTTTTGTCGATTAACCTATATTTCACACTTTTCATTTTCAGTCATATGCAGCATCCTCTTTTACATACCTTTCTTCCAATGGCCTTGCTACGTTTTGCTCTGAAGTCAGCCACTTGTTCACCTATCTTAGGGTGTTTGCACAAAATTGTCATCGCTCTTTCTAACCGTTGCCGTCTCTTTGACTTGAGTGCTGATACGCTGCCAACCTCTACAATCTGTTTCTAATCTTCCAACCTAGTTTTTTTTTTCTTTCCACTTCACTGCACCCTCTTACAGTCAAAGGGGGGCACTTCTTCTGTCCTACTGATTAATAAACCTCCCTCTGTATTTTCATAACGTCTTGTGGCTATACTTCCTAACTCAAAAGTTAAAAATAAAACCAAAGCCAACCCAAATTTACTTTGTCACTCTTTTGCTTATCTTTCTCTGCCTTTATATTTCTAGTTTTCCATTCATGCTTGCTACTCTTGTTTCTTGTCTTTTATCTTTTTCATACTGAATTTGATCCCGCCTTGTATTTTTTGTGTCTGTGTTGGATCTTATCTTTCTGAGTTCACCTCCAAAAGTAATTTTTTCTTCTATGGTCTCTCTGTTTCAGATTGTTCTTAAATCATCTCCACTAATAATGTTTGCAATTCTGCTATCATCAAACCATCTCTTCTGTATGTTGTTTTTTTCACTTTTATCTTTGTAGTGGCCTCAAGATTCTCTCCTTTGCTAATATAAAAGTTTGAAATGCATATTTTGCATCTGTTGCTTTTATCTCAATTCCTGTTACTTCTATATTTGGTGTCTTTGAATTGCTGGGAATAGCATTTTTGTTGTCCTCATTTTTGGTCATCCCACCTTGATCACTCTTTCAACTACTGAAGTAATTTTCTGTTTCACAGCATCAAATTTGCTTTTGTATTCTTACGGCTACCTAGATTTCCATCTTTCTTTATGCTTCTTTGTACTTTAGTCTTTACCACTTTTCAAGTTTGTTTTTTTTTTTGGTCATCTTTTTTTCTCTGTACAGTCTTAAGGTGACATTGTTTACATTAAATTTCTTCTTATCAACGCTTTCTTATTACTGTTAATTTCCTCTTTATTTAGTGCTACAATATGTCATTTTCCCTTGTCTAAATTCAAGCTTTGAATTGTTAATAGCTACTTACAGTGTTTAACATGTACTCATTTATTTATTCAGTGCTCTGAATTGTGTAAGGTGTGGAGAACACAGTCACAGCAAGTATAGTTGCATTCAAAAGGAGTTATATTCTGCATGTTTGTGGGTCTTTCTACTGCTTGTGTGGCTTCGTACTTCAACTGCATTTATAAGTGTCTTGGTTCTGGTATTCCTTGGTTGAAAATTTAAACTGAGTTGCATGTGATTGTTAGTATGCATGTGCTTTCTTGATTGTTCTGGCTCTCATTTTAATTAGTCTAAGTGAGATTTCATTTTTGATAATTGAGTTATGACTGAAGTCTGTGGATTCTTTGGAAAACAAGCCAGTTTTCTTTGAAGATGAACTACACTTGGGAGAAGGAGATAAAAGCTAAGATGTGTCCAAACATTTTGCTTTGAAAATCAGGGAAAAAAGAGCCTGACATGTAAAACATACAAATAATGCTGTTGTCTTTTTTAACCAAGTGACAATTAACTGTATGCTTGTATTATTTGTATACCAAAGAACTTCAGTTTTAATGGAACTGAACTGCAGTGGTTTAGATAGATAGTTCTTCTTTAATGGCTGCTGAAGAGGGTAAAAAATGTTGTGAGAAGACCAAAACATGTGGAATGACTGTGAGATGTCTTCTGAAGGTTTGGACACTGTCGTAATAGTGGGGAACTATCTAACCCGTTTGTGGCAGAGGTGTTGACTTGAAGCTTAAAATGATTTCTAAACTGTTAACAGATGTTTTACTAATATAATACTGAGAAGTAAAAGAATCCCATTGCAAAGATCATATTACAATTGATCGACATTACTCTCAGAGTTATAGAGATCCATTTTTAGTAATTTGGTGTACTAAGAAGGTAGTAATACTGCAACCACTTTTTTTTTTTTTGTTGCACCTCCAAGTTATTATTGTAATGGTTCACAGTGCTTATTTTTGAGTGGCTCTGAAATGAATCCAAACCATGCTTTGTACTCATGAGCTGTATTTGAATGTTTTTCCCTGTAGGTCTGCCTTCTTGACTTGCCATCTGCTTTCCTTGTAGGAGCTAAATAAGGCAGCAGAGTTAGAGAGCTGGGGCACAAGAGGCAAACAGGCCTCCAATAAAATGGGGGAGGGGGCTAGGGGGGGTTAGGGGGCAAAGAGATGAAATACGTGCAGGGCAGTGGAGCATCTGCAGTGTGTTAATAGGTTTCTGTGCTGGAAAACCTAGCCAAGCAGTAGTCCAAGTGTGTCTGTACTGAGGCATCCGGAGAGGGAAGTATCTCATGCACCATGCTTGAAGCCTAGTTCTCTGTGTGATAATGTGATTTGGCACATGGTTTTGAAGAGTGGGAGTGGATAGCTGCATAAGCATGCAGGAGAATGGATGAGAGTGATTTCAGTGAATGAAGAGCCTTTCCAAGGTAAGGGTATTTTGCACCATTAGACTTGGGGATTAACTTCCAGTGATTTGAAGCATTTGTTTTGAGTTATGATGGGTCATGAGATACTGGATCTTGAAACAATATCCGCCTACGCTTTTCCCCAGTGTGAATTTTTGGCAACTGGTCCAGAACTTCGTAAAGTAAGTCCTGGAACTTGAACTAGAAGGATTTTTCAGTTACTGCCAAGATAGAAAGAAACCCAGTTGTATGTTGCATTTGTCTGGGGAAAAGGAACGGTGTAATGCGCTATCAATTAAAACTAGACATGTTGTAATACTTACTTTAAGCATTCGAGTGATGCCAATCGTTTTTCCCAGCATAACCCTAATAATGCAGTAGTGATAACTGTGCTAGTACTGCCCCAGTGCAAAGGACCACATATATTCTTCATGTATGTTAATATTCGTGTACCAGAGATGAACTTGGCACAGTCCATCGCATACGTAGACTTCCCGCAAGTGATTTCCTGTAAGATGCTCTTTTGGAACTGCTAGCACTGGGAACAGTCTCCCTTTTGCTTTTAGGAAACAGTAATATTGGGATTAGCAGTTTGTTTTCTGAGTGACTGTGCAGATGGTTTGGGCTTTTAGGCAAGAAAGTAATAGCTACATAATCCTGTAAAATAAAACAGGCTTTAAAAAACTCGGCTTTGAGTTTTGTATTCAAGTTTACATTATGAGCTCTTAACACATCAAAGGAGCTTGATGGTGTTCCTCCTTAACAACTTCATGTAATTGAGAGTAAGGACAGCTATGAAAGCTGTACTGTGCTGTGCTACGAAAGAGAAAAATTCGGTAGTGTTCTTGAGTATAGTTTAAGGTTGTGTAAACATTCTGTTAAGAGATACTACTTGAGGGGGGAAGAAACACCTCAACAGAAAAATCCCCGTGTTAATTGATGAGGTTGTTCTTGGCCAGCAGTCCACACGCATCCTGCCTGAAGTGCCAGCAGGGAATGTTGTATTCCTGCTGCTGAAGAGCAGAGCAGGGCACTGCAGGCCTGCCAGGAGCACCAAAGCTAAGCCAAGCATGTTAGGTGTGGGCTATGGTGGGCCACCTGTGCTGCTCGGGGCCGGTTGTGCAGAGGGCAGGCAGCCCGAGGCACCCAGGCCTGTGTGCGGTCTGGTAAGTGTGGTCTGAGCTCAGGCACGTGGAAGGGAATGCTCAGGGACTCCGTGCAGTAGGGTCTGTTCTTGTCTAACAGGGGAATGCAAGGGAAGGGCAGGACTTGTTTATCAGATGTGAAAGGTGTGGTTAGGGAGGACTGAATCCGGCAGTCTGCAGACAGCTATAGGCTCAAGCAACAGGAGGCTGTGTGCTCCCAGTGGGTACAGGCACAGGGGTGCCGGACACACAGCTGTGTTCCCTCACTGAGCACTTGTGGGTGCACAAGCAGTACTAACAGCCTCATCCTTCTCCCTTTGGCAGTTCAGGATGAAGCTCTGGTAATGGCATCTTGTGCATATAAACATGCTGGGCTCAGGTGCACTGCCCAGCAGTGGCTGCTGGATCCCAGTTTCCCCAGTTGCCGGCACCTGAATACATAAGCTGCTGAGGCGGCAGCCCCACTCTGGTTGTTGGTGCTTGTTTTCACTCACTCTGGTCTTTCTACTTGCTGGCAATATGGATACATAGGTATTCCAACAATTTGGCTGTACAAAACATATAGAAGTGTGTTCTGAATGAAGTCTGTCACATGCATCTGCAGCAGCTGTATGCAGACAACTTGCAATACTTGTTACCACAGAATTCTGCTAGTCTTGTTCGGCCCAGGATTGTAATTCTGCTGTTTATCAGGATGGTGTTTGTAAATAGAGGTATTATCTTCTATGGGTTCAATATTATGGTTGTGAAAACAGGCAAGTAATTTCATCTATGTGTAGGTGTACTCTTTTTTGAGAGATGAGGGCAGTAAAACATGTAACCGCAGTATCGTAAGCACTCCTAACAAACAGCTCAAAATGTCAATTTAATTAATGTAGAGCTGTTTGAGAATGTTGTTGCCAACTGTTCTAGTAGTGGATGATTTTGCTTTTTCTCTTACGGTACTTTTATTCCATAAAAATAAACTGAGTGTAAGTGTGCAATTTACATGAAACCCAGACCTTAGTTACAGGTGCTACACTTGTTTACAAAATTTGGCATTCATGTTGTTGCTACTTTTGAAGGAATGTAACAGTAAATTGTGTTTTTAATGATTACACTTGCTGTCACAAAGATGATTTGACTATCCATCTGTAGATTATACAAGAAATGCTTTTTTGTATGTGATTGTGATCTCTAGTTACTGGGGTGGAATACCCTGCATCCAGCGTGTAGGGATGCTCTGGCAGCTGCATGATAGATTTATGGGCTTGAGGAATTAAAAAAAGAGATGTATCTTTATCAGAAGAAAGGGTCTTAAATCTGTGAAATATCCCAGATTTGTGATGTTATGTCCATATATTATGTCCATAACACTTGTGGTTAGTAGGGGAGTTTGTGAACTGAGAACAAAGAGGCAATAGTTCGGACCACCTCTGAATCATCAGTTGTCTGTCCTGACAGCTGAAGTTAACTACCAGTGTCAGTAAGAAGTATCACATTTATCTGCAGGCTGATAGCTTCTGTCTGTGCTAGCTTTCTCTCCCTTTTGTTGGAGTTGTTAGTCAGCAAGGTGGTGCAGTTGATATACTACAATTAGAAGTTGTCTTGAGGAATAAAATTGAATGCAGCATGGATGCGTTAACTTCAGGTTATTGATGCTAACATTAAATGTGATTCATGGCTGAACAGTATGTATGAGATCAAGGAGTAATACCTCAGAGCATATATTCAAATCCTGTAAATATAATGTACTTCCTTAGTAATTGAACACGGAAGGCTTTGTAGCTTTACAGAAGGGCCAGATTTACAAATATGGGGGACTGGAGGAAAATCTGTTGTGATTTGGCATAAGGGGCCATCGGTGTCCAGGCAGCAGTTGGACAATGAGCAACCCTTTTACCTTCTTGTGAGGAATGTAAAATAGCCCCTCAAGGCCTCTGCGTCCCACAGAAGCCTATTGTGAAAGTTTGTAAACGTACAGGACGTGCACACCAAAACAGAGAGGGCCACTTTAATATTTTGGATGAAACTGCTGCCGGAAAGAGGAAATTATTTTCTCTCTGAGTGGGAAGGGAGTGTGAAAACAATGGCCAGGACGGATACCTTCATTATGTGTTTGATTTGGTAGAAACAAGTCTTTGGCTACTTTAGCTGAGGACAATTGATACACCACAGCTTTCATGCAGTTTAGACCCTGCTAGTGACTATGCAAGGCCTATACTACCAAACTGTAGTCTGTTTGCTACCTAATCAATTGAAAATTTGTCGTATGCTATTCTGTGCTTTTTCCCACACTTCCTGTCATCTGTCAAGCACTCCTGTGTGTTTATTCACACCTTGAGTTTGATTGAGTTCTGCATTAAGTAAAAGGGCCAAAGAAACTGATTGATTGATACTCATTGCTCTCCAGGGTCTACTCCTGCCCCTTCTCTCTGTGAACTGTCTGTTAATTTTTAAACTGTTTATTTTAATAAGTTAATAACATTCACTGATATTTTAGAGAGTGAAGCAAATACAGAATAAGAAAACTATTTTCAGTGAAATGTCATGAAAATATAGCATGCCATGTACTACATAGAGTCATAGAATGGTTGGGGTTGGAAAAGGCTTTTAAGATCATCTAGTTTCAACCCTTCTGCTATAGGGAAGGACATCTCCCACTAGACCAGGTTGCTCAAAGCCTCATCCAGGCTGGCTCTGAACACCTCCAGGGTGGAAACATCCATATCTGTTTACTATATGAATTTGGAGTATTACTCTCTGTCACTGGGATGAATTTAGTTAATATGCCTGCAAATCTAATCTGTTGTGGAATGCCAGCATGGAGCCTTTTTTGCTTGCTTCTCTAAGGAAATGTGGCAGGTGCTCCTGAGGTGTCTGGAGCAGACTGCCTGGCTGCTCAGAATATCTGTGAAGTGAGGCCTGTAGGAGGTGATAAGCTGAGTTAAAGATCTGTGTTGGTTTTCAGGTTGGCCAGACTGATTACTCATGTCAGAGATTAAAAACCCAAAGAAAAACCCCAAATGCTCCATTTCCTCAAAAATAAGTCAAGCAGATCAGGCTTCCTCCCCCCCCCCCCCCCCCGCCTTTAGGACACTTAAAACACAGAAGTTCTGTAGCTATTATTAAAAGAAAAAGAAGTTCAGTTTGTGAATAGGATTAGCAAAAATCGTGTTAATTTGAGTTTACTTTTTGTTACAGTTCCCAGAGTGTGGTTTCTTTGGCATGTATGACAAAATTCTCCTCTTCCGGCATGACCTGAACTCAGATAATATTTTGCAACGGATTACATCAGCAGAAGAGATACATGAGGGTGATCTTGTTGAGGTTGTTCTCTCTGGTAGGTATTGTTCTAACAGTGGAAGGTACTTTATTCAGTTGCTTAAAAGAAAACGGGCCCTTATGGATTATTAATATCATGCTTGCCTTGAGCTCTTTTGATTAAGTAGTCTCACACTGGGTCAGTGTTTTGGGGTGGAGATTTCCAAGAAAACTGAGTGGTACTGATGCATCAGTGCTAACTTTTGTTGTTGTTTCATTGTTGTGTTTTAATCTTCTTTGAGTTTATTAATTGTTGAAGGTGAAATGCAGGTAGTATTCAGGATTTGCTTTTTCAATGGTGTTGGTTTTCTTTTGCTTAGATCTGACAGTTTTTTCAGCCTGTAGGTTTTGCATTGACGGTTTGTATTGCTTTTAAAAGCTTCCTATTAATGCAGTTGCTAATTCATACCTGTGAGAACACAGTCTTAAGAGTTACTGCAGTGTTTGAAAACAGTTTCTTTGAAATAATGAAGTCTGTAGCAGCAGTGGTATTGACATGTAGTACCCTAACTAACCTGGATTGTACGTGCTTCAGAAAAACTCCATTGGAGTCAACTAAAAATCAGCTGTAGACCACTTGCTAGCTAAATTGCAAATAGAAGCTGAACCAATATTGAGCAGTTCTTCAAGGCTTTGAGGAGTCAGTGCCAGACTGAGGCTGCATTCTAGAAAGACAGAAGTCTTGGCTGTATTGGGGTTTATTACTTGGGTCAATAAAGTATGATTTTCAGAGTCATAAGGCTGAGTTTCTTGGCTGCAATTCAGGACCCACTGTTCTAGGCAAGTTTAGGATGTTCAGTAATTGATCATCTTGGTTTGAGCTTTTCATTGCTTCTGGTTAATGGCACACTGGGGGAAACTTTTGTGTGTATCTTCTTGACAATCTCTGACAGTTTCCTTATAAATAGAGACAGACCACGAGGATCTGAGGCATTTTGAAGACAAATAAATCTCTTTCAATAGGATTTTTTAAACTGAGACATGGAAATCTGAATGTGAAGTGTTATTATATATTGTAATCAAAGGCTAATAGCCATTAGGGGAATATAATGTTGCCATAAATTCAGTTTTTCTCATTTCAGAGAAAGAAAAGAGGACAAAAACTCATTTTAAATGTATTAGTGCTTGTTTAAGAAACAGAAGAGGTCTAGTGAAGTTTCCAGTGTTCCATGGAAACTCTATCCATAGTTCTGTTTGGACAAGTTCAATCTAATAACTTTTACTGAGAAAGTCCTGAAGAAGATAAAAGTCTAACCTGTCCTCGGGTTGAAAATTTTGTGAATTGCTAAACAGGTTGAAAATTAACTTTTTATCAGTTATTTACCTCTAAGCTGATTTTAATAAAGCTTGTATTTTTTTTTTTTTTATTCCTTCTTAACTTAATGAGGGAGGTTTGCCTTTAAACATGAAATGGAAAAAAAAAAAGAACAAACCAACAAACTCTGAAAATTGCATGTTTTATTCCAAACTCAGACTGTTGATTAGTTGTGGCTGTCAGCCTACAGTCTGATGGATTTTTTCCTTAATAAACAAGCTTTCTGAAAATAGAGCATTCCACACAAAATGTGTATTTAAATGTTATACAGCATAATACTCATATGTAAACAGCTCATTAGTGTTCTTTGAGTCTGCCATTTTATAACAAGAGTATGTGGAAATAATATATTGTTGATCTTATGACAAGAACCATAACTTTCTGCAATTTTTTAAAAGCTTTGGCTACAGTTGAGGATTTTCAGATTCGTCCTCATGCACTTTATGTGCATTCCTACAAGGCTCCTACTTTTTGTGACTACTGTGGAGAGATGCTTTGGGGTTTGGTACGACAAGGACTGAAATGTGAAGGTAAGTCTGTGATTTTTTTTTTTGCTGTATTTTTGTTGTGGATATTTGTATCCATATTTGTATGAAAGAGGAAAATGCATCTTCTTCAAAATGGAAGCACATAATGTTTTGTAGCGTTGGAAGTCTGCATCTGGAAACCCGAATTCTGATCCTGACTTTAATGCGAATTGTGTGTGACCTTGGGCAAACAATTGAAGAATTGTACTTGTTTCTCACTTTGAATAAATATCTAGCTGACAGACTTGTTCCTTGCACAAGGAGCACATTCTTTGGAGAGACTCCTGAAGGGAAATCCCATTGCTTATGGCCTTCATCCAGCTGGCTGCAGAACGTTCTGCAGCCTGCTGACAGGTACCAACCCTGCTCCTTGGCTCCCGTTCTCCAGAGCAAAAGAGTGATGAAAGCCTCCTGGTGGGAGGAGAAGAGAGAAGGGAGATCAGCTGCTTCAGAGTCTTATACCGTGTTTCTAGAGCTGCACTTACTGGAAATCAATAAATAAAGCCAGCAGTGCAAAAAAAGCCGCTTCTGTGAATCACATCAACTTAAGAGTGTTTAACAGAACAGTTTGTTTCTTTACCATTCGTTTGGATCCAATTTTTCAACTGCTTTATCAAAATACAGATACTATTTTTGTTACTTCAATTTTTTTTCTTCTTCTTTTTTTTTTTTCTTCAATTTTTTGTCTGAAAAATCATTTATTTCAGGTTGTGGATTAAACTACCATAAGCGGTGTGCCTTCAAGATTCCAAATAACTGTAGTGGAGTGAGAAAAAGGCGTCTGTCTAACGTGTCTTTACCAGGAGCAGGGCTTTCAGTTCCAAGACCAGCACAAGCTGAATACACATCCTCTGCTTCTGAAGAGGTATGTAATGTAAAGGGGAAACAATTCCTCGTTTTAAAACTTTTTATCTTTGGTGAAGTAGCTAGTGTTATGCGTGGTTAAAAATGATTATGGGAGAGCTGGACTTAACCACTGTGGTTGGTTTTAGTTCATTTTTAAATCTCTGTTCAGTCCTAGACTGAGACATTTACAGATAGCTATTATTATTGTGAGAAATGGAAGGAAATGATAAGTTATGTGTTACTTTGTTCTTACTCTGTCTCTAGTGGTTATGTGAGCTATGAGAACCTTGAATTTGGGAATGATAAAATACCTTGCTGCCTTTGTAATACACGTTTATTCTGTAATTACTGTATCAGTATAGAATAATTGTTTGGCTAAATCAGAACAAATTGTAAGCTTTTATCTGGGGAGAGGCGAGAATGTTCTGGTACACTGTTAAGCTTTCTGCTTAAAAATCTTAATAAACCAACCTTATCATGAAAGGGTGCAGGGGATTAAGAGCATGCAGTAAAAGCATCACCCATACTAGTTACTTGTTATGAAGGGTATTCCGATTGCTGAGAGTTCACTGGATATACTCATGAGATAGGGCAGGCTGTTATTGGATGCACTTGTTTCATTGCCACTTTCACTAAAAGGTAAAAGGAGTCCTTCCCACTTAACTAAATTGCGTCATGGTGATCAGGTGAAGTCCTCGGTGACTGGAGAAAAGGCAATATAGCACCCATTTTTAAGAAGAGTAAAAAGGATGACCCAGGGAACTGCAGTCATATTAGCCTCACCTCAGTGCTGCAGAAGGTCACAGAGCAGATCCTCCTGGAAGCTATGCTAAGGTGTATGAAGAGGGGAAGGTGATAGGGATGCTTGGTTTCCAAGGGCAGGTCCTGTCTGACCAACCTTGTTGCTTTTCATAATGATGTAACTGCATCAGTGGACAAAGGGAGAGCCACTAATGCCATCTAGCTGGACTTCAGTAAGGCCTTTGATAAAGTCACACATAACATCCCTCTCTCCAAATTGGAAAGGTATGGATTTGATGAGTGGACTGATGAGTGGATGAGACATTCATTGTGAGATTGTACCCAGAGAATGATGATCAGTGGCTGAACATCTTGATAGAGATCAGTGACAAGTGATGTCCCTCAGGGGTCAGTACTGGGACTTGTGCTCTTAACTTCATCAGTGATATTGGCAGTGGGATTGAGCGCACCCTGAGCAAGTTTTTGGTGGTCGACACACCAGAGTGAGAGGATGCCGTTCATTGAGACGTAGGAAGTATGAACAGTGAGCTCAGGTGAACCTCATGAGGTTCAACAAATCCAAGTGCAAGGTCCTGCACCTGGCTCTTAGTAACCCCTGATACTAGTGAAAGCTGGGGGATGTAAGGATAAAGCACAGCCCTGCCAAAGTGGACTTGAGGGTACTAGTGGGTGGTAAGTTGGACATGAGCCAGCAGTGTGCCTTTGCAGCTGAGAAAGCTGTATCTGCATCAAAAGAAGCATGGTCAGCAGGTCGAGGGAGGTGATCCTGTCCCTCTGCTCTGTGCTGGTGAGACCTCTTCTGAAATACTGTGTCCAGATGTGAAGTCCTCAGTACAGGAGAGATGTAGACCTGTTGGAGTGCATCCAGAAGAAGGACACAGAAATGATCCAAGGGGTGGAACACCTCCCCTGTGAGGACAGACTGAGAGAGCTGAGACTGTTCGCCTTGAAGAAGAGGAGGCTCTAGGGAGTCTTAATAGTGGCTTTTTAGTATCTACATGAGGTCTGTATGCTGATCAGCATATGCTATTTGTGAACCTTACCAGGTTGCTCTAAAAAGCAAAAAAAACCCAACCCTGTCACGTCATCAATGAATTTTAACCTTGTTTGGGATTTTAGTTCCTGTGGAAATAAATGTTCGTACAAACTTTCCTGTGCTTCCCAAGCCTATTCCAAGTCTTTTTTTTTTTTTTTTTTTTTTTTTAATAAATATTTTTTTGTCAGAGGCCTCGTGGCCAAATTTTGCTTTCTCATCTGGTCACTATCTACTCCACCTTTTCTTTTTCTTTTTTTAATGAGGTGGAAATTCGTTTGCTGCAAGTCCTATATGAATACCTTCTTTATTCTAGCGCTGCTGTCCAGAACCTAGTAAAAGGATTCCCTCCTGGAGTGGCCGTCCCATCTGGATGGAAAAGATGGTGCTTTGCAGAGTGAAGGTTCCCCACACCTTTGCTGTTCATTCTTATACTCGTCCCACCATATGTCAGTATTGCAAACGGCTGCTCAAGGGCCTTTTTCGTCAAGGAATGCAGTGTAAAGGTATGCACTTATTTTTCTGCCACAGATATGAATCAGAGCAGTATAATATTTGAAAAAAATACATTTTTTGGAAAGGATTGTGTCTCCCCTATTTGCATTATATATATTTTTATGAAAACTGAGATCTAATCACATGTGGGATGGAAACATCATAATTCAACAATAATTCTAAGCTATTAATAAAAACAGGAAATCCTTCCCTTTGTTAAATGTCTTCTACACTCATCACTAAAGACTTCAGTATCTTTTGTTGCGTTATTTTAATACAGGATAGTGATTATTATCTTTTGGAAAAAATTACAAGGATTGTATCTTTCCTGAACTAGATTAGGCTCCATCAGGTGGTTTTTATTGAGCACATGGTCATGTTCATGACTTCAGCTCTCAGATTCCTCCATGCCTATCCCAGGACATAACTATGGCATTGTGCTTTTCTTCTGCCTCTTCATGACTGGATCGTACAGATTTGTTAGCTTTGTTGCAGGAAAGAAAACTAGTGGAGAATCCTAGAAGTTAATATGGTAAGGATTTTTCATGTCTTTCGCACAAGTTTATCAAACGTGAATACCAAAGATCAACACGTTGGAAGAGGTCACTTAGAACAAAAAGTGTAGGCTTATATCTGTGATAACTCTCTGCTGACTAAAAATACTGCTGATGGGGAGTAATTCTATTTTCCATTTTACTTTTTATTAATTTGCGGTTTTTGTAGCCTTCTCAAAGTCTGCATCCCTAACTGTTTGACTCTTCAGTCACCATATCTCCTGGATACTTGCAGTAAATAAATAACAAAGCCTACGGAAGATGTTCTGCAGTTTTAAATTACTGACCATTTCCAGTGGTTGTGATTGCATATTCAACTGAACAAATGGGGTTGCCACTTCATTCTCAGGAAACTCTTCATAGAAAATAGTGTTTAGGTATAGAAAGTTACCTTAGAAAATATATTATGTTTGTACACAGAAGAAAAATAGGTATATTAAGAGATATTCATTTAAGCAGCGTGGTGCTATGTATATATATATATATATATCAGCAATTGATGTCAAACTATCAACACATTTTCATACTGCTTTTTCCTGTGTTTTTTTTTTTTACTGTCTCCCACTGACTTTTTTTGCTCACATTCCCAAAGCTTGAGTTCTTTCAGCAGTCTTATATTTCTGAGTATCTCAGAGGCTTGGATTTCTTAATTCTCCAGGCTAGAATTTGAACTCTGAGTTGATCTTCAGGGCTAACTCTATAACTATGTTAATAAATGAAGTCAACTGGGACAAAATGGCCTGTACTCACATACAAATTTTCTTAGCCTTCCAGTCCTCAGTGGCTGTATGCAAACTGCCTCTTGGGAACAGTGTCATGGAATGCTCTAATTTATGAGCTAGACCTGGGAACTGTTTGAGACTGTGTTTTTATGGACCTTATGAGTGAGTCAATCCTAATAAGTTATTCTTTCTAGTAGTTCCCTCATAGGATCTGAACCATCTTGTTTGTTCCAGCACTCTTTAGGCTAGTGAAATAACCATATTCCATAATACAGACTGAAAACACTGCTATAGAAAGAACGATTAGTTGGTTTTCTTGAATGCTTCCTCTTAGGCACTTGGAAAGTAAACAGGATTGTAGCTGGCCTCAGGGTTTGCCTACTTAAATGGGAGGACAATAATTTCTTTGTGTTTAAAAGGAAAGTACAACAAGCTACTGATTAGCAAGTCAGATCTAGATCCTGTATTTTGTAATTTGGTTACTGTAATTTAATACAGATGCCACATTCCAGGGAGTCCTCAAGACCAGGTTGCATGGGACTTTGAGCAAACTGATCTAGTGAGAGATTGTCCCTGCTTGTGGCTGGTGAGGGTGGTAGAACTGTATGATCTTTCAAGTTCCTTCTCACCTAAAGTGTTCCAGGGTTCTATGATAGCAGAAAGGGACTAAATTATCAGTTTCAAAACAGCAGTGAGGACAGTAGAGAGTTTAAAATTCATGATGCGGATGTGTGGTTGGAAATTATGGTGATGCTACTAACAAAGGAAATTCCTGTAATGCTATTAATGTGTGCTGGACTGTTGGATATCAAGTACTGCATACTTAAATGCAGAAATGGCACACATCCAAGTTAGTGTTCTATCTCCACATTTGACTTGATGTATCTTACTTTGTTGGTTTGCTGTCCAAAGAAATTAGGGCAGGCAGAAATGGAGCTTCATTGTTACCTGGCCAGATCTTTTATCTGAATGATAGGGGAGCTGAACTCTGAGGTTTACTGCAAAGCATTCTTGCTCTATGTTTTAGGATTGTGATCCTAGGGCTATGATGGCTGCAAATCTTAGGCAGCAGGTAGGGAAAAATGATAGAGATTACACATTTGAAACAAGTAGCAATGGAAAAAAGGGTGTGGAGCAGACTAGAGGATGGGAAAAATTGCATCATAACAGAAAAAATAGCTAGAAAGAAAGCTAGAGATTAGAAAACTTTTGTCCTGGAAGGGAAAGTGCTGACATAGTGCACTGGTCTGGCAAATCATCGTAAGACATTCAGACAAGATTGTCCATTTCCTTCTGGAGGTGATCTCATCAGTACTGTCTTCTAGTATGTGCAAATGTATGCATCTGAACTGAAGCTTGTGATGGAAGTTGTGATAGAATGCGTCTACTTGAGTAGGAGTAAAATTCTGGTATTATGGGCTTATTTATCTTTTGTTTTAGATTGCAGATTCAATTGTCACAAACGCTGTGCATCTAAAGTACCTAAAGACTGTCTTGGAGAGGTGGTTTTCAATGGAGGTAAGATGAGAAACATGCTTTCAAGTACTGGCAAGCTTTTGAGGCTTAAAAAGATCCTTCAGCTTTACATGTCGTCAACTTCGACTATTTTACGTGTTTTTATTTTACCTTTCAAGTTCCTTCACTTGAGATTGCTGAGAATTAAGATTTCACTGTGAAATTTATTTTGGTGACTTCAGTTTTACTTCATCAGTGTTGGCAAGTGAAATTGTGGTACAAGAAAGGCATGAGCATTCTGGAGAATCTACCTAAGGACTGTGAAGTTGATGAGGGTATTGGAGCACCTCTATGAGGAAAGGCTGGGATTGCTTGAGGGGCACCTGGAACAGGCTGCCTAAGACTGTGTCCAGATGGCTTTTGAGTATCTCCAGGGTTGGAGACTGTACAACCTCTCTGGGGCAGCCTGTGCCAGTGCTCAGACACTCTCACAGTTAAAGTGTTCCCTGATATTCAGGTAGAGCCTCATGTGCTCTGTTTCTAGTCATGTCATTGCTTACCACAGAGCCTGGCTCTGACATCTTTGTACCCTCCCTGCGTTGATTACTATCCATTGATCAGATCATCCTGAGCCTTCTCTTTCCATGTTGAATAATCCTAGTTTTCTCAGGCTTTCCTCATAGGAGAGATGCTCCAGTCATTTTGTCGTGCTTTGCTGAAAAGGAGATGTTTCCCCTCTACTCAGCTCTGTTGAGGCCACACCTGAAGTAGCGTCTCCATCTGGGCTCCTCAGCGAACGAGAGATAGGGATGTACTGGAGAGAGCCCAGTAAACCAGAAAATAACTTTTGTCCTTTATGTTTATATTTTAATTCATATTTTAGAAGGAATAATATTGATGGGCTGGTCACTTGTAGAGCAGAGTTGCTTAGTGAAATGCAAGTTCAGGCCTTGAGAATTTCACTATGAATCTTTCAGTATGAGTGTTGTTTTGGTTGTGTTTACTTTGGTATTTAACACAAACAAGTTGATAATGTTGATTAGCACACTCTGAATCATTTAACACAATCTTGAGGATTTTTTATGTTCTGATTGCACTATGATGTTTATTTGCATAAATGTGAACTGGGGAACAATTTTTTGTCTTTTTTTTTTTTTTTTTAATTATGCTCTAAAATAAAATCTGCATCCTGTGTTGCTCCCAGAACCTGCTAGCCCAGGCCAGGATTTGGACCTGCCAATGGAGGTTGATAGCAGTGAAATGAATAGTGATGGTAGTCGGGGTTTGGATGATACTGAGGAGTCCTCAACTCCAGAAGACAAAATCTTTTTTATGGATCCATCTGACCTTGATACAGACAAAGATGAAGAAGCTGTTAAAACCATCAGGTAAGTCGTAACACGAACTTTTGTGCTTTGGATGTGTCTTCCTCAGTATTCTAAAGGAAAATTTCAAGTAAAATGTTTCTGAGTAGCCCATCTTTAAGTTGTGTATTTTTTCTTTTTTTACACAAACCTGAAATGTAAGTAAAGTAAAATAATATGTTCTCTTCTAATTGGAAAGTGCTGTGCTATGAATGTTATTAAATAGATAAAATGAAATTATCAAACCATGGTTAAAAGTGTGGCTAAAGGCAAAGATGTGGGAAAGATCTTTGTGACTTCAGCCTAATTTAATTACTAGTGTACAAGTGTTGATCTAAAAATAATTACTCTAGAGACACTTTAATACTTATATTTTAGTTTATTCTAGGCAGCCAATTGCTTTAACTAGGATGTGATTCTCTGAAGTCTTCCATCTGCTGACTTTCCCTAGAATCACAGAATGGTTAGAGCTGGAAGGGGTGTTTAAACATCATCTAGTCCCTCCCTGCCCCTTGCTATGGGTTGAGACATATTTCACTATATCAGGTTGCTCAAAGCCCTGTCCAACCTGACTTTGAACACTTCCAGTGATAGTTCCTTTAATCAAGTTTAGCCTTTTTAATTTTTATATTATCATAGGATCATAGAGCAGGCCAGGTTGGAATGGATCCCAGAGGATCCAACGTTTGTGGGAGAGAGTAGCCTAGATGTGATTATCTTTAATTGCATCTTGAAAGCCTCCACCATGTCCCTGGGGAAATTCTTATTCTGAATAGCATCATCCTGATTTTCTTAGTGTCATTCTTAAAAATAAAAGAGTAATTGTAATAGGTCAAACAAAGGTAGTTTTAACCCAGTGTCTCATGGCAAATATGTAAGGAAGAGTATGAGAACAGGAAGAACATATAGCTCAGGAAGAGCAACTTTCAATGATTTGTAGCTCAAGAACTTCCTAAGTTGGAAGTAGTATCTTTTTGTGTCTACTTCTAGGTAGAATTTTTCCATTTATTAATAGCATCTGAAGCAATTCTTTTTTGGCATGTGCAATGTCTTGTGTCAGCCACTTCTACAACACTGCACTGTGTTAAAGCATCTTTATGTTTTGATTTGAAATTCTCCTCATGATTTGATTTCATGTGATTACAAATTTAACTGCTAGCACCATGTGTAGGATCTCTTGTACTAAGCAGGTAAAGTGGTGGCTCACTCCATACTGAGCAGGACTGAAACCTGTATGTTAAACTAACAATTGTCAAAATGTTAGATTATCAAATCCTTATCTCAAGAAAGTTAATACAAACGACACTGATTTAAATTTTCAGGTATCATTTGAATTAACACTCTTCTGTTTTCATAAATTGAAAGTGTGCTTTATTAATGTAATATTATGAAATAATTAACTTGACTTAGTCAAGAGAAAATAGTAAAAGTGCCAATGTTAATTACTTCTACACTGGATTAAGATTCAAGCAGTAAATTGTTTCGAAAGGATTATTTGTGTAGGTGTCTCATTTCAGTGTGTTTCCTTTGCTTTCTGTAATGTAATACAAGTAATGCAGTACTTGCATTAAAAGAGAGCTAGTGGGAGCTCAAATTTCTTATCTATCAGTGAAATAAGTTGTAAGAGAAGAGTAAATGCCTATTCTTGAAAATTTTGGGCTAGACGTATAGTACTATTAGTACTCTTATATTTTTTAGCTTAAATATTAACTGTTTTCTCTTTTTTAGTCCCTCAACAAGCAATAATATTCCTCTCATGAGGGTTGTACAGTCCATCAAGCATACAAAGAGGAAGAGCAGTACGATGGTGAAGGAAGGATGGATGGTCCACTATACTAGTAGAGACAATCTGGTCAGTGACTTTGGTTTCTTCCTACAGTAACTTAAATTATTTCTCTAAACCACTGTATTTTATTTCTGTTATCTAGATAATCTGATTTACAGTACCATCTGAAATAACTTAGCAATAGTGTTCATGAAGAGGAAGTATGATGCAGTGGAGAAATCTTTGAGGTGATGACCTATCAGCACTTTTCAATTTAGAAAAAGAGGCATCTCTAATCAGTCTGAAATGAATAGCATGTTAAAGTTTTCAGCTGGATTTATCTTCTTCCCATTTGGAGGTTTTCTTCACCTACCTGAAAATATTAATTCTGTTATAAAATGACCAGTATTGAAACATTCAATGCTATTCCACTGTTAGAGATATTTAGTAAATTTGGTGTGTAGATACGGAAGCCTGTTATTCCTCTAGCACTTTGTTCTGTCTCATAGTAAGCATTACTGAGCACTGTTCCCCATTCCAAAACCACTATTTCTCTTCATGTTTGTGGAATAAACATTAATGGTTTGGTTGTATTAGCTTGGGTTTGTAACCGTTTTCCACAAAGTCAACACTGTTTGTTTGCAGTGCTACTAGTAATGATCTCTTAGTTAATTGAACCTTCTAAGGCAAGTTCCTTGCAAGGTTTTGTTTTGTTTTTGTCTTGTGAAAGAAGATAAGAATAACTGGATTCCAGAGAATTATCTAATGCAAGAAAATGAATTGACTTTTCCTGATAGATGAAATGAAAAAATGAAGCGGAGAAGTTCCCGCAGCTCATGCAGTCCAGTTTGTCACATTGAGAATGAGAAAGGCAGGATAAATATTCCTGCATTCTTTGTCCCTATGAAGGGCTTTGTCAGAAGAGAGAGTTTGGGAGTTTAGTTTATTTCAGTTACGTTGAAATCATAGACAGCTCAGGGTACTCCAGTATTTTCACTTTCTGTGTTTGTCAGCTGAACAGGTGGTCTCTAAAGTACAGTTTTGTATTAACTAGTTATATTTATCGCAAATCCAAATAAATATCTTGCATTTCAGGTGTGATTTCAGTCTAGGCTCCTTAATAGGCACAATTATCATCTGCTATGAAAAAATTGGAGCCAGATAATAGTTAGAAGACGAGTAGTTCTAAGCAGTACTCAGGGCAGACCTGGTGTTTGGCTCTGTTTCTGTCTTTTAGCACAACCAGAACATTTTTTCCATGGATTTTATTTTTAATTTTTATTTTTTGGCGTTGTCTCAGCCAGCACCTTAGTTTAGATCAATTTATTTTTTTTTTTCATCTATCAGTGGAGCTGCTATCTAGATGATAGCTACCAAAAAGGTGGTGCAAATAAAGTTTTCTGTTCCAAAGCAAGATACCTTTAGTCAAGCAAGATTTCAGAGAGCTTCCTACTGGAAGGAAGCTTCTGTATTATGTGTTACAGAATCAGCTGTATCCCTTATCCACTCTCTCTCAGCAGAGTCAAACTCTTTCTTGTTCCTGTCACAGCTTGTACTTTCCGTTAGTTCCAAAGAGGTTCATTCTAACAGCATATCAGCATACTTTCTGTTGAGCCTGGATAACAAGGTGTTTCACCCAGTATAGGAGAAATTGTCATCATCTGTATTCTTATTTTTCTCATTCTGAGCCCTTCCTTTCTCAGTACAGATAGTAAGTGTATTTAGAGTTCCTGAGTACCTTCCAACATGTTCCTTAAACACTCCAAGCCTTCCTTGATTTATGATTTTTTAGAAAGCATATATGTTAAAAGGATGAGTTCAGCCTTATACTTTCACCCAGTTTCCATTTGGTGCTGGCTTGAACTTTCATTCAGTTAAATCTATTCATGTCCTGGCTTTCTTCACCTAACTGCTACAGATGGTTTTAGCTTCCCTATGACTGAAATCATTTAAGCTCTGTATTAGATATAATAAGGGTGTTATTTTTCTAAGCATTGTCATGTCCAGAGTTAAGGGCCTTTGATTTTTCTTTGGGGAAAAAAAAAAAGAGTTTCTGACTATATGAGCTTGGTGCAAGCAAGTCAGTTAGATCCATATAGGCATATGGCTTTTCAAGTCCAAATAGCTTTCAGATGATTCTCTATTTTTTAGGAATGTTCCTATGCTTAAGGTTATTAGGCAGTTATGTACCAGAACGTATATGCCTATTATTCTCTGATGGAAAACATATTTCTCATTGATGGAGACTTCTCAAAAGTGGCTACATAATCTGTCCTGATTTTTATCTTAATTTTTCATCTTTTCCCTAAGATAGATTATCCACTTGACTCTCATAATCTGCCTATCTTTTTTTTTGCCACTATGCACTTCAGCCACCTAGAATTGCAGACTTGTAGGGGTTGGAAGGGACTTCTAGAGATCATCGCATCCGACCTCCAGAATTTTCTGTTTACAAAAGAATGGAGGACTTGTTAGACTTGCTCAGTTCTTAAACCCACGTCACGTTGGTGTGAGGGCACGGAAGGAGAAATTATGGCTCCCACAATTGTTGCTAAGTGAAATAATTCAGATTTTGTGAGCACACGCACACAGAGTGAAACGTGTCAGTAGTTGTTTCCTGTAGGAGATGATAACTGTTATCACCTCTGTTACTGGAAGGTAAGTGATATTTTTTTCTGGTTTGTGCAAATATGAAATGTGCAAATGTTCTATGAGCCTATTCTTGAATTAAAAAAAAAAAAAAAAAAAAAAAAAAAAAAAAAAAAAAAGCAAATAACTGTATTTCCAAAATGTGTTTTTCATGTATCCAGTCTAAGATGGAACCGTAGATTAACATCATTTGATTATCTTAGTTATTTAAACAATTTCTCATTTAAATAATTGGATACCATAAGTACACCTAATAATTGATGTTTTTATTCTGTGCATTTTGTAGAGGAAAAGACATTACTGGAGACTAGACAGCAAATGCCTCACACTATTTCAAAATGAGTCTGGAACAAAATATTACAAGGTAATTCAGGATGAGTAATAATTGTGTTGCATTTGATTTACTTAAGAGGTTTTGTGTGCTTGAAATAATTGCTTCCAAATAGTATAATAAATGTTATGTTAATTCCCTATATTTTAAAGTGAAAAAGTAAGTAGTGACTGAAAGTTGCATGCTTATTTATTTCCCAACTGTGCAACTGAAATTTGCGAGCAAATTTTAGAGGGGAATTTACTGTGCAGCCTGGCATTATATGAAAGAAGCTTGGCTGTAAGCATGTTATGCTGCAAATATAGTAGTGTGTTCAGTGGTGGAATATTCAGAAAATGTCTGCAATTGTATAAACAAGATTTTTTCCCTTTCTTTTCTTTACCTTTAGGTGGGGGTCCAAATCTTGCAGTTTCTTCCTTTATAACATCTCTAAGATCAAGCCTTTTCTCTGTACACCCAGCTAAACTTGCCCAGATCCTTTTCATCCCTATCTTGACCAATGCAGTTTCTTCTTCTCAGACCTCCCTGATACTTGTATATTGCCCCGTGCATTCAAAACACAGCTGGTAAAATATGTTCCTTGCTTGTTATTCCATCCTGTCACTGCTTTTAGTCCTTGACTTGCCCCTTCACCTCTCCTTTTTTTACTGCTTAAATCTTGGATTATTTGTCTTTGCTATTAGAAACATTCACAGTTGTTATCTCTACATTTATTTGCTCTTTATCCTAATCAGCTACAGCCTCTTAACCTCATAATGCCAGCCCAGTGTTCACCTGCCTGTTCACTACTCTTGCAAGTGATGTGCACCTGTAAGCCCTTCCGTATATGTGGAATGTCTTCCTACAACTGGCTTGAACTTGCAGCTTTTCCTTCCTTCAGATCTGTTCCCTAATACAGCTTTGTTGTAGTAACAGTGTAACATTGTTCTTAAACTGACGAGGTAGAGAAATTGGAAGAAATTGTTCATATTTACATGAAAAATAATCATTTCCAAAGTTGATTCAGAAATGTGAAGTCATACTTTTTGGCCAGCTTGTACAACTACATCCTCTTCCTAATGTGTCTTTCTTTTTCCCTATTGTGTTCTTCTCTGGCTAAGCTGTATAATCTGTGAGTGTGGTGGGAAACAGTCATTCTGTAATTGTGCATCACCTGTATGCTGGATGGTGGGCTGTCTTATGCTGAACATGAACGCAGTTTGCTTAGAGATTAGTGGTTGCATACAGGGAAGTGTGGTGGGGCTCTCTAGGCATCTGTAGAGGAATTTGGAGATCTGTGGGTGGGTAATGGTTTGTCTACATTTTGACAATAGTTATGAAGCTTGGTGTTTTGCTATTTTGATATATTTGCTTTGATTTCTCTGCAAACATTTTAAGTTTTGAACAGTAGTGTGTTAAAGTATTGTATGTATTTTCATTATTTAATCTTTAATATTTTTCTTCAGGAGATTCCACTTTCAGAAATTCTCCAGGTGACTCAGCCTCGAGATTTCTCAAACATGGTGCAGGGCAGCAATCCATACTGTTTTGAGATCATCACTGATACGATGGTGTACTTTGTTGGCGAAAACAATGGCAGCAGTCACCACAGTCCTGTTCTTGCTGCCACCGGAGTTGGACTTGACGTAGCTCAGGGCTGGGAGAAAGCCATTCGTCAGGCCTTGATGCCAGTCACTCCTCAAGCTAGCGTTTGCACTGCTGCAGGACAAGGAAAAGATCACAGTAAGCAGGCAGACAAGGCACTGTTACTCGTGTTCTGAAGCTGTAAATGGTAGAGATTCCATTTCAGAAAAGTCTGTTTGTCTGTCTTCTGCTGAATTAGGTCTGTAATCTTCCACAAGTTTCTCAGAAGAGGCACTCAAGTTTTATGGAGGGTGTATGAGCAAATCTCTTAATCTGTTGTAGCAGCATGTAGTAGTAAAAAATCAGTTTGCCCACATAAATTCATACCGCAGAACTTTTATCATATGAGCATTAAGAATTCACACGTAGTTGCTGGATGTTAAAGGGGACCATAGTTGAGACATTTCTAATAAACTTTTACAAACATCCCTTTCCATCAGGTTATTTATGTACGTACAAAAAAACGGATGCTTTTTGACGTTATCATCCATATTTAGAAAAAAAAAAGATCTGTAGCTAAGAAGAAAGAAGCAAGCTGGTGATGAAATAAATGTTGCTAGTGATGGAAAGAATATTTGCTGAGCTCTGAGCAGTAACATAAAATACATTTTCTTCCTTTTGTGCCTTTTTTTCTCTTCTTTCTCCAGCGTAGGATCATATTCATTATCAAGACTCTGCTAGGCACATGTTGTGCTCTTTCTTTTCAGATATCTCCTTGTCCTTTGCAACAACGGTCATGCACGTTCTGTACTGACATTTATGTTTTCATTCTTCAGTTTCCTTTCATCTTCCAGATACTCTTTAATCTTCTCTTGTTTTCTTTTTTTTTCTTTTTTTTTTTTTTTTTTTTTTCTTTTTTTTCTGTAGGAGATCCTGTTATTAGTTTTTATGTCTCTGGTATCTCGTTATGCGCATAAGCAACAGTTAAGGGCATGTAAATGTTAATCTTAGGTAAAGGCACTTTCTGAAAATATAACTGTGGTCAGAAATGGTAAGCTGTAAAATGTGTGTACTCGCATTTCTAATTAACTAGAGTCAAGAAACAAAGCTGTAAGAAGGTAGCTTGTAACAGGCCTTGAACCTATGTAAAATGCCACTTCTGATATGCAAATATGAGTTCCAAACTCCAATGTCCTGAAGCACTCTCTGTTCTTTAAAACTGAGGGCTGACTGTCCATGAGAGATATTTGAATGCAATTACTTTTTCCAAAACCAATTTTTTACCATCCCCCCTCCCCCCTTTTTTTTTTTTTTTAAATTTGAATGAGAAATTATCAGTAGCAAGTAATAGAGCTATGGACTAGATAGAGAAGACATATTTTAGCTTGATTAGGATTGTAGGAGTATAAGAAAGGACCGTGGATCTATAGCGGCATTTCCACATTCATAGTGCAGTAGTTCTCTCAACTCTAAGAAGACCACAAACTGTAGGTCCTTACCTCTTCTTCCATCAGATGTGTCCCAAGAACCGTTAAGAAAATTGGACTTACACTAAAAAAAAAAAAAAAAGTAATAATTCTGTATCCTCAGATGTGTTCTCTTAAATGAGTAGACCAGAGCAGGGCACTGCTAATGCTTGAAATACTTAGAGCAGCAGGAAATGTATAGTGTCAAAATGTCCACAAGGCACCAACTAGTCAGTTTATGCCGTGTTTTTGCCAGCAAGTCATTAGTAATGGGGATACTCCTCCACTCTGACTCACAGGAAAGAATCCTTTTGGATGCTTTGCCTGGTGTTTAGGATGAGATGTTTCTTTGTATGATGTTTCTGAGGTGAAATGGGGAAAGGGGAGATTAAAAGTAAAGTAAAAGTAGCCAATTACATAAGCTATTACCTGGTGTAAATTAGATGTTAAATTCTGACATTACTGTTTTCTTCATAAATGTCAGCATTTCAGCCCTTGTTTGTGTGCATGTTGGAGGCTTCAGAAAACTAATTTGGAGTAACTCAGTCCCTAAAGGGGGAAGCAGATACTTTGTGTTGTGTAGCTATCAGTGGAGAGGGGTTCAGTGTATTCCCTTAAATAGTTTCAAAAAGGATGTCTTCACTTTTTTTTCTATTTAAACTGTAGCGAGGTTGAAACAAATTGTCCTTGGTAACCTTTTTGTATGCCGCCTTCTTGTTTTGCCTTGTGTTCTGTGTTACTCCAATACAGACCTGCCTGACTTCAAGCAGAAGGCAGTAGTCAGTAGACACGTGCATAGCTGTAATTCCAATTAGTATTTCAGATGCAGAGTCAGAGTCCTTTGAGAACTAATATTATTTCCTATCTTAAGTCTATACATTCTTTCTTTGAGATAAGGCACTGGTGACAAAAATTGGGTATGCGTTCACAGAATTGCAGGGGTTGAAAGGGGACCTCAGGAGATCATTGAGTCAAATCCCACTGCTAAAGCAGGTTCCCTACACTAGGTTGCACAGGTAGGCATCCGGATGGGTCTTAAATATCTCCTTAAAAGGAGACTCCACACTGTCATCCTTACCATAAAGCTCTTCTGCATGTTAGTACAGAACTCCCGATGTTCAAGTTTTAGACCATTACTCTTGGTTCTATTGCTGCGTACCACTGAGAAGAGTCTGGACTCATGCATTTGCTTCCCACCTCCCTTTAGATATTTATAAATATTAATGAGATCCCCTCTCCGTCTTCTTTTCCCCAGGCTGAACAGCCCCAGGTTACTTAGCCTGTCCTCACATGGGAGATGCGCCAGGCTCTTAGTCATCTTTGTGGCCCTCTGCTGGACTCCTTTTAGGAGATCCTTGTCTTTTTTGAACTGGGGAGCCCAGAACTGGACACAGTATTCTAAACATAGCCTCATGAGTGCAGAATAGATGGGGAGGATAACTTCCCTCAACCTGCTGGCCATGCTCTTTTTAATGGAGCCCAGAATGCCGTTGGCCTTCTTGGCCACGAGGGCACACTGCCTGCTCATAGCCAACCTGTTGTCTACCAGGATCCCTGGGTCCTTCTCTGTAGAGCTCCTCTCCAGCACATCAGCCCCTAACCTACCTATACTGAAGCATGTGGTTATTCCTCCCAAGGTGCCTGACTCTATACTTGCTCTTGTTAAGGTTCCTCCCTGCCCAACACTCCAGTCTGGCCAGGTCTTGCTGAATGGCAGCACAGCCTTGCAGTGTGTCAGCCACTACTCCCAACTTTATATCATCAGTAAGCTTACTAAAGCACAAAGCTCTTCCGAGAGTGATAAAGGTTCTTTTCAAAATCTGTAGTCTGTAGTATGTCCTGCATTCACCTTATAAGTGATTTTCTTTTTTTTAATTAACATAAGAAATAGTAGGTGTCTGTTTATCTGAGATGCCTGACCTCCATCTTGAAGTCAAAGGAAAAAGGTGCTTTCTGCTTCCACATGCCTTTTCTTGCCTGCTTATCTTAATGTTATTTCTATAATGAAAACCTCATGTCATCCATCTGTTGCAGGCTGAAAAGAAATTGTGCACCCTTTTTTAGTACTTTTACTTGAAAATTACGCTTCCTAAATGTGCTGTTATATTCTAAAGATTGGTAATGCTTCTACAGAATATCTGTGAAACCCTTTGAAAACCTTTGTTTATATTGTGGATCTTTTTTCTGACTATCAGGTCTTGTTACCTTTTTTGCTTGATTTATTTCCTTTTCTTGTGCATTACAGGTTTTGTGTAGCATCAAGATATACAAAATTAATCACACACATTTGACTGTAGGGGATGTACCTAATCCTCTTATCTGTATTCTTCCCTATTACTACCAGAAATTTTTAGTAGTTTAATGAACTCTGATACAATTGCCACTCTACTATTGCTTTTGGTTCTCCAGTTCTATTTTCTATACTCTCATACTGCTCCATCATTTTTATTATCAGTGATATGACAAAAATGGACAAATAATCTCAGCAAAACTCCCTGGGTTGTTCACCTAATCAGTCTGTGAAACTTGAGTTCCAGATTATGATGCTTTTGCAAAACAGCCATAAAAATCATTCATTGGGATAAAAGTCAATAATTTTTTGCTGTCAAAAGCTTAACTTCTCTATTTTCTTATTCTGTTGTCTATTCTTCTTCTTTGTTGCAGAAGATTTATCTCTAAGCATCTCTGTTTCAAATTGCCAAGTCCAGGAGAATGTGGTGAGTCACATGCACTGTAATAAGAAATGGTGTTTATTAATCTGAGTTTTTGAAGTAATTGGTAGTAAAACAGTTTGTGACAGAGAAAACAGCACTCTGGTATTTCAGCTAGACAAGACCATATTATGTACCTAACAGGAGATAGTCCACTTACTTGACACAGCTGTTAGTTTGTATTCATGTATGTCTCTGTATATAGTGTGATTAAGTGGAACCACTTCAGGAAGTTTCTTCTTCCCTTCCCTTGAAGGCAGTGATATTACTCTTTAATATTTTACCATAAAATTTAAATACAGCTTAGCTAGTACTAACTAATATGCTCATGAACATTTTGAGTATGCCTGATGCTTATGATTTCTCCTCTTCATGCATTAGGATATCAGCTCTGTGTACCAGATATTTGCTGATGAAGTTCTGGGTTCCGGTCAGTTTGGTATTGTATATGGAGGTAAGTAGAATCCATTATGCTTTTAGCTAAGATGGAGTGTAACTGAACTGATTACTGTTGGCCTTTTTATGTTTGCTTAGCTGTATCAATATCTTGGTGAAGTTGATCTTGTTAAAAGTTTGGTTTGGATAACTGTGGTATGGCCTCTTTGCATTTTGATTATAGTGTTTCTTACAATTAGGGTTTTTTTTGTTTTTTTTTTTTTTTTTGCACGTAGAGTTCTGCATTCCTTCAAAATCACTTCAGAATACGCATTGCATTTTGACTATAATAAAATACAAAGCAGTCACTAGTCTCAGTTTGGCCTTTGTGACTTTTATTTAAATAGTGAATTCTATCACTGTTGTCTGTATTATACAGTGTAAGAATTATGTATTTAAAGAGGCTGTGCAGTATAGCTCTGATTTTTATGGATATCTGAGAGAAGCAGCTGAAAACAGTTAGAAGAGTACGTGTTTTAGTTTGTGCTTTAGCAGTACTTTATGCAGGTGACTTCACTACCAATTTTTCTCATCAGGATAATGTAGAGGAATTCTTTACTGAAGTCTCAGCTTTAGTCTTGGGATGTAGTTATGTCACTAATTTATTTAAAAGCTTCCATTGCAACATGTAACTTATTGATGGTATTTAATCACAAAAACTGTTAGAAATATGTCATGAACTGGATGCCTTATTATTTTTTAAATTTATTTCTTATAAGTCCCATATAACATATCTCCAATGTTGAGAAAGCAACAGACCGTAGATCTGGAAAGGAAGAAAAAGGGTAACTAATGATTTAAAGTAGAAACCTTTCTGCTTCTGTCATATTGTCTGTAGTCTGGAAATTCTGTGGCTATCATTCTTCTGTCTGCCAATATAGTGGGTAAATATTTTTCTCTGTTACTTCAGCACCGTCTGATGGAATCTTTGTTTGATAATCTGGTTTATATCAGCGATGCTTGAGAGGCTCCTTTGTTTCCACTCCAAGATTTCTTAAAGAATATTGTGAATTGAATTATGCTTTCTTTCTTATGAACAGAATGTACCTAAATACAGACAGTAGTTACATGTTTTGCCTTTCTAAGTATACTCCCTTAAGCTGCATTTTAGATAAACCTCATGTGCATGTTTTTCATACTACAACAGAGTGACTTACATAATAAATGCTTATAAAAGGCTTTGATCATATTCAGTCTTCTCACTTAACGATGTCTTAAAACATGTAAGACATGCATGTGCAATTTCTTAAGATAAAATCATGAGCTGAATGTGCATGGGAATAGTGTAATTCTCTTTTGTTGGCTGTGCACGCTGCCTAACTGTTGCTGGTATTTTTCAATGATCTTCTGACCTTTACAGACTTACTGAAATAATTAAATCTATCAATTGAAGAAATATAGAGATATAATTAAGTTGCTTCTTCTGTTGTCTTTTTTTCCCCCCTTCTGGACAAATATTAGACGTTTGCAAATTGTAAGTCAAAAAGTTTATGGGCTATTGATATCCCACTGGTGTTTCTTTCTGTGAGAATAGTTTCCCCCTGCGTTTTTTATTTTGGTTCATTTTGAAGGGTCTGAATAATTGGGACACGTGTGGGGAAAAAAACAATTCTTGACAGTTTTTTACTGATGCTAAACTTGCCCTGAAAACTGGGGTGGTTTTACACAGAGAAGGAATTTCAGACTACCTTTCTGTTAATCATTCTTTGTGTACTTTTAGCTTCTGTAGCTAAATGTGTTGTTATTTTGATGCTTTTGTTTTATGTTATCTGCAACCTTGTGTTTGTTTCTCAGTTTTCTTATGGTATTTCTTTGACACTTCAATATAATTAGATGTTTATTGGAGCTAGAGATTTTTTCCCTAACTATTTTAGGGTTTTATTTAAACCATAGCCAGGAGCTGTGATTCCTAACATCTTGCCTAAAAATTGCTGATTTGCAACAGAAAAAAGAGACAAAGCTTCACTGATCTCTTGAGACTTGTGGCTTTATGCTTTTGCCTTTGTATAGTTTGTTTTCCCTAGGACTAATGTAATTTTAAAAAACATTTCTTTTGCAATTGTTAGTTCTGTTTGGCAACCTTGTTTAACTCTTTTGGACCTTGAGTGATTCCACTGTCTTACCTCTTCCAGTGGACGTAAGCCTGATTTTGAGCCTTTATACGTGAGGATCTTTAAGGCAAGCACACTGGTTGCTCCATGCAGCCTTCAAAAGCAATTCTCTGCCTTAACTTAAGCCGTGGCCAGCAGCTCTGACTGCAGAGCAGCAGGTGAGGCTATCAGGGTTAGTAGTGAGCTGTAGCTGGGCTCTCCATAGCCCTGTCTCTAGCTGTGATAGCAGGTAGAATCCTTTGTGTTGCTCTTTGTGCTGTAGCTGTATGTGTGTCATCCCTTCTTCTAAAATAGCTTCCAGACCTTACGTGGAGCAGATAATTACTTTCTTTTTCTTTGGCTTGGACTCACTTTATCTGTGTTAGTTTAATATTAAATGTTCTAAATTATCCAAGTCCTTTGGTGTGTCCTCCCATTAAGCTCTCTGATTCGAGTGTGAGAGAAAACAGTTTTAGAAGTTACAGGAAACCTGGGTGAGCTACCCACGTGGCTCTTGAAATGTCCTGTGTATGCAGGATGCTTCTCACTTAGCTGCTGCAGGTTACAGCAAGGTTTAATACTGGCATCATCAGCCCTATTTTTTTTTTTTTTTCTTTCCTAAATTAGAAACTTCTAGGGCTGATGGGTGTTAGTCTTTTATGGCACATAGTTCCTCCTGACTATACTTCTGCAGACTATTAGTTATAACTTTCTGAGCACATGGAGCCCATAAAAGTATCTGCTGAAACCACTGGAGAAGATGTTGTTTATCCTCCTTCACATTTGTCTTGAATGCTGTTCTGTTTGTTAGTTTCTCTCTTGTGGTGTTTTTTGTATGTTTTTTATACAAGAAGAGAGGCAAGATTCTGAAGTAGGTAACACTTGTTAACATAGAAGTTCTTTGCACAAGGCAAAACTCCACCTAATACTTCTAACATAGAATCATAGAATCATTTGAGTTGGAAGGGGCCCCTGTATGCCATCTAGTCCAACTTCCTTGCAGTGAGGAGGAACATCTACAGCTACATCAGGTTGCCCAGAGCCTGCTCCATTTTGATCCTGAATATCTCCAAGGATGTGCTGGACATGCTCCAACAGGTCCGCATCTCTCCTGTACTGAGATCATCTGGAATGCAGAGCAGAGGGGCAGGTCCCTTGACCTGCTGGCCATGCTTCTTTTAATGCAGGCTGGGATACGGTTGGCTTTCTGGGCAATGAGGGCACACTGCTGGCTCATGTCCAGCTTCCCATCCATCAGTCCTTTTCAGCAGGGCTAATGTCAACATGCTTATCTAAGCAAATGATTAAAACTCACCTACAGCCCTCCTGTTGAGGTTGGTCACTTCTGGTTACTCATATACCAACTGCAGTTTTAAATACAAATAGAGCGATACTGAACATTTGTATAGAATATAACCGTTTCTCCAAAAAGAGATTTCTGCTGTAGTTTTCTATAGCTATGAATTGCTTGTACTTCTTGATGTTTGATGTTGACTTTCTGTTCAGGGAAACATAGGAAGACCGGAAGAGATGTAGCTATCAAAGTTATTGACAAGATGAGGTTTCCAACTAAGCAGGAAAGTCAGCTTCGTAACGAAGTTGCCATTCTCCAGGTACAAAATTATTTTTGTATCATGTCTGAGTTTTCTTCACATAAGCCATTGATAACATTGTGTAATGTCTGTAAGTGCTCTGTATTGATTTCTAAATCTGCACGTCATTTTTGAGTCTTTTTGTAGGAAGGAATCTTGTAAGTAAGTAGGGAATTGCCAAGCGTTTGATAGTGTTGATAACTTGAGGGTAGTATCTGCTGCAATGGGAGATGCACCAAGGACCTGTACTTTGGTCCCATGTCTCTCTCAGCCAGCTGGAAATTGTAGTATTTTAGGTTGTCCCTCATTACTGGCTCCCCTGTCTGAATGGTGATTTTGCATGTTCTGTACTCAAGTTACTGAGTGTATCAACTGTAAAATAATTATAGATAATCTGTGCTAAAAAAAGCCTTAATAATGATAGTTTGTGTATTTCATGGATTATTGTATATGTTTCAAACTAATTTCTTGCCTCTGACATGTTTGTTTTTCATTTCTAACTTTCTGTTTAACAACTCTTTGATTTGTGCTACAATATTGCTGTGTAATTCAGAATATTTCATGCTGTTTTATTTTAGTGATGTACTTCTACTACTTTGTTTTAGAATTTGCATCACCCTGGGATTGTGAACCTGGAATGTATGTTTGAAACCCCGGAACGGGTCTTTGTTGTGATGGAAAAGCTGCATGGTGACATGCTAGAGATGATTCTTTCCAGTGAGAAAAGTCGACTTCCAGAACGAATAACTAAGTTCATGGTCACTCAGGTTAGCATTCAGTCTCCCTCCTTGAGAGGAAAGGCTAGAGTTGCCTTTCATAGTTATGTGAGAATGGAGTCTGGAGAAGGATTTCCTGTGTGTGAGACAGCACAAGGAGTTGTGCATCGAATGGCAGTTGAAAAAATGTGGAAATAAATTGGAATATTTTTCTGATCCTATTTCACAAGGCTTAACATTATGGATATCCAAAGATGTACATCAAAACTCTAAATGTTCAAAACGGTGGAGTTAAAATAAACAAATAAAAGAAAATAAAAGGTCATCACAAAACCATTGGTTCCAGCCTATTGACTGGAAAAGTAATGCTTGTATATATTAACTCTTCAAGGCTACATTGAAACAAATTTTATACTGCTTTCTGTATGGATTTTGATGCTTTTCATCTATTTAAATAGTTACGAAAATTTTCTTTTGTTTCTATAGATACTTGTTGCTTTGAGGAATTTACACTTCAAGAATATTGTGCACTGTGATTTAAAACCAGAAAATGTACTACTAGCATCAGCAGAGCCATTCCCGCAAGTAAGTGAAGACTAAGAAATACTCATTTCCTCACTTTGTGGTTTTTGTTTTTTTGGTGTTTTTTTTTGTCTCCGTTTTGGCACATACAGTATTGAAACGATGACAGGAATAGAACCAAGTACCACCCTGGTTTTGCTCAGTAGCACATTTAGGAGATCAGCCAGAGATTTCTCAGTTTAAAATGCATTTCTTTTGCAGGTGAAGCTGTGTGATTTTGGCTTTGCACGTATCATTGGTGAAAAATCCTTCAGGCGCTCTGTGGTGGGGACACCTGCTTATCTTGCCCCTGAAGTGCTCAGGAGTAAAGGTTACAACCGCTCCCTAGACATGTGGTCTGTTGGAGTTATTGTCTATGTGAGCCTTAGTGGTACATTCCCATTTAACGAAGATGAGGATATAAATGATCAGATTCAAAATGCAGCATTTATGTACCCACCAAATCCTTGGAAGGAAATCTCCAGTGAAGGTAAAGAAGTGAATTTGCTTTATTAGAACATCTTTAAGCACAGATAGTGCATCCAAGTGCCTAAACCACAAGGTTCACTGAGAGATCAGTGCCAAAATCTTGAGTAGTTTGGGTTTTGTATGCCAGAATTGCTAAATGTGAGCTGGCATAGACATGGGAAAGGTGAAATGTTAAATACAGTGTCTTGGATCGTTTTCAGAAAAGAAGGAGCCAGAAGATTTAGTGGGGGAAAATCTGATGTAATGACTTGATTGCATTCATAAGGAGTGGGATAAACAACCCCAAATTCCTCACATATCCCAATGAAAAGTTAGATCTTGCCTGAGTATTTGCTGAACACTGATGTCATAAAACATACTTTATCTAAACTATGATATAATTACAGAAATGATTCAAAGTTGAATATAGAATTTTGTTTTGTACATTAATAAGGAAAGCAAAACCTGGATCTGTTTTATTCAGATCTGAACAATCTGGAAATTTATGAGGATGGTCTTCAGAACTTTCTAATGCCAACTTTGTTAATCATATAAACATGACTATATGATCACACAAACATGATTATATGATTAACACACGGGTAGGTGTGAAAGGACACCTAATAAATCACACAAATAGTGGAAGTACCTTTGTCATGTTGGAACACAGGATTATGCTCAAGCTTTATTTAAACACTTCTGAGAATTACTGAAATTTTAACAGGTAATATAATAAAACTTTTATTGTTTCTGTCAAAGGAAAAAAAAAAAAACAAAACCAAGCCTCCCCATGCCTATTTTGTAGCCTAGTTTAACATAAGCAAAGCTACGTATAAAATTCAGGAGCTTGATTCACTTTAGAAGAGTTCAGTAGTGTATGCACAACTCACTTTCACTGCAGCATGCAAAAGATGTGATTAATATTTAAACAATATGTTTTCTTCTGTTTCTCATTGTTAGCCATTGATTTAATAAACAATTTGCTTCAAGTCAAGATGAGGAAACGTTTCAGTGTTGACAAATCTCTTAGTCACCCATGGTTGCAGGTAAAATGATGTGTCTTCATCCCTATGCTTATAATGGACAAATAATAACAATTGTTTGTATGAAATCCTTCACAAGCTTAGTAAAACTACTGGTAATGCTTGTGAAGAAACACTCATGGAGTATTTCTGGTTTTGGCTTAATGTTTAACGTGCTTCATTACTCTGCCCATTTCTTTATGGCTCTCATTCCACAGGAAACATTGTTCATTCCTCTCCCCTTCCTTCTTATTCACTGCCTGATGCTAACACAGAGTTCCACTTTTCTGTCGCTTCTGAATAGAGGCAGTGATGAATGCACGGAGTCTCAATGAGAACAGTGCAGACACACAGTGTTCAGTGCTAAAGATGGCTCACAAACTAGGGGGTGCTGTAGTTTGTAGCCATTTTAGAAGAGAACTGTTTGAAATAGAATGTAATAAGTAACTTAAAAGACATTGTACAACTTAGAAAACATGAAGGGGAAAATCCAATTAAATAAACAGTACAAACAGTACTGCAACTAGTATCACTTTATGTATGTATAGATATGAATAGTAGTACAATTAGTTTTATAATAAAACCCTCTTATCTGTCTTCTAGCAGTTTTCATGATTTCTAATGCTACAGCCTCGGGAACTAGCCTACTTAATTTGGAACCCTTCTTTTTTCGTTGTACTCTGTTTTTAAACAGTTCCTGTTGGTTTTATCTTGTTGTTATTTATATTAAGAGACAAATTGACGAATTTATCTTTGGAAATATAAGGCTGCTGTTTCTTGAACTGCTTCATGAACTCTTCTCCTCCTTAGGATTATCAGACTTGGCTTGACCTCAGAGAGTTTGAAACACGCATTGGAGAGCGTTACATTACCCATGAGAGCGATGATGCCCGCTGGAAGGAACATGCGTATGAACACAACCTTGAATACCCCCAGCATTTTATCATGGCTCCGAATCCAGATGACATGGAAGAGGACCCTTGATTTACTCGTATTGCTAAACTGCAGCAAAGGCCGACACTCCAGACCGAAATTGAAGATAAGTTTTGGAACAATTGTCGCTCTTTCTGAATGCTTTACATGTAGTTCAGCATACGGAGCCTCAGAGGATCCTGTGTTGAAGGGAATAGACTGTCATCTGACAAGCTTTCCTCCAGCTCTGACCTAAACTATGAATGGTTATTGGACAGTGGGATAAGCCCGCTGGGTAACGCTGCACCCAGTTGTATGGCTGCAAAGCCATTACTGAAGTGTGATGTGTACAGATGGAATGCTTTGCATTTTTCAAGGTTTTCTTTTTTTTTTTTTTTTTTTTTTTGTAGCCTACACAGTAAGAATTTTGTAATGATTTTCTAATCCCTATTTATCCCTATTTACTAGGCCATAGAGGACTGTTTTTTGTTACTTAGATACATCTCCTGTTTCTTAGGCTGTGCATTGTGAAGAGATTGTAAAAGGAAATCAGTGCAGAATACCTTAGATAATAGAAAAACATGGCAGTTGAAGGTTGAATATGGCTTCATAGGTGAAGGAGTAATTTGCTGCTCTTAAGACAGTTGGGTATGTCTGTCTTTGCCCTAACTGAACTTTTTCCAGATACCAAAAAAGAAAGAGAAAACGTGCAACTTCTTACATTCCTCTTGAAATGCTGGCTGACAATCTGAAAAGACAGTCAGAGCTGTGCTCACCCTATATTTTGTCTGGTAAAACAGAGCAATAAGCCACAGTATTGTGTTGCTACGCAAGGCTGGTGCGTGTCACTGATACACACCAAAGGCATTTTGCCTTAAAACTACATCAGTAGTGCAGAGAGCACACAAGACTTGATGTAGCTTATCCTTTCTCTCTGGAAAAAGTTTATAGCAGAAAGATGTGGAAAAATAGGGAAAAACATATGCAGCTTTCTTCTGTTGTTTGGAATAACGACGTTTTTAAATTTTCTAGTATTTTTCTAATTTTTTAAGGTTCCCTCAACTAACATCAGGAATAGTTTGTAGCTTGCTAGCTTGTATCTTAATTCTGATACGTACCTGGGTATGACAAAATCACCTGTTGCTTCCACCAGGGCAGCCAGATTGGAAGAGAAAGGGTTTTGCCTTCCTTGCAACCTTTACCTGCAGCCTCTTCTGTCCCTGTTGTGCTCAGAACTGTTTTGAGCTGAATGGAGAGTCCAAAACCACCCCCTAATTCAGTTTTTTTTGCAGATGCCCCAGTTGGATTCCCAGCTACTTACTGGACTTTGGCACAAAAGAGGAAGCAGTAATATTCTGTGGAAATGATTCCCTAGGAGCATAGTTAAAACTGACTGTATTTCAGGGAAGTTTGAGACCTTGAGTGCTAAACACAGATGGAAGAGGGTGTTTTTTCTCCTCACCTATTAAAAAAAGTGGAAGAAAAAGATTTCCTTTTGTGTGGATCAGCTGCGTTGTGCTGCTGGAAGATGCTGGGTGGCTCTACATGTCTTTGATATGCCAAGCTACTTAAGTGCAAGTGAAAATACCTTAATACTTACATAGACTTGAACTGCAAAGCTGGGGGGTGCTTTGAAGTAGGTCCTTTCTCTCCTACAAATTTCTTTTTGTGTATGTAGAGATTTTTTTTTTTTTTTTTTTTTTTCCCCTCTTAGTGTTGTTCAGGTAAGGAAACAGGTGAGCAGATGTCTCCAAAGCTGTTAGATAATCACAGAATTTTACCAAGTTGTTTTGGTGCTGGGAGCTGCTTGCAGTGACAGTAAACTGGTAATAAGGTCAGTGGCAGCTGCAGAAGTATGTATGTGGGCAGTCTTGAGTCCTGAACATCCCTTTACTTTTCCAGTTGCCCTCGGTATAACTGCTGTTGTTCTACAGGTATCTAAGTAAATTAAAGTGAAGTCTGGCATCCCTGTTAAAGTACACCTAACTTTGCAGAAAAATCTTGATTGAATCTGCACAACAGTTTGCTACAGCCACCAGTAGGCAGAGTATTTCTGCCCTTCCTACCATCATGCATCCTTTCTTGTAGCACATTATTCTCAGGTTTGTGCAGAGATGAGCCTGATGGGAGTCTGTGCCACTCCTGCACTGGGGGAGGTCATTCTTTCACTTTTATGCTGTCAAAGCAGTGTAAAGGAGTCTGAAAGGGGCAGAATTTGGCCCTTAACCTTGCCCTCCTGCTTTGGTGAAGTTTTGGGACTGATTCTTCTCCAAGAGGCGCTATTGTTTTAATCTTTGGAAACAGAACAATCACCATGAAGTTGGTAGTCTAGTATTGGCTCAGGCTTGGCAAGGGAAGCCAAGGGAATCTTTCTTTCCCCCCCACCCCCCCAACTTTCACCACCCAACTGACCAAGTTTCAGTGAAGCCATTGCTATTTTCCATTCCAACTGTAATAATATAAATACAGTCTGGTTTTAAGCTTTGGATTTTAAACTTGAGTTGTCACTGTCTATTTTTTTTTTGTTTGTTTGTTTGTTTTTTAAAGGGAGAAAAGAAGCCAGCTTGGTCGCTTGAAAAGCACAACACACAAGAGAGGAAGGGGTTACAGTAAGAAATAAGGCCTGACTGATGTCTCTCCCCATGAAGTCTGCTTTGTGCTGCATTAAAAAAAAAATTATATTAACTATTTATTCTTAACTTGTATTAAAAACAATGCTGTTAGCCTTTGGAGTGGTTTGCCTGATAATACATGCACACATACAGACTTATGGGGCCTGACAATAGAAGCCACAAGCTGGTAGCTGAGGAACCAAAAAAAATCAGACATGCATTATAAGTAAACTTTTTTCATTGAGTAGCAAAAATAGCTGAATTTCTTTATTCCATTTTTTCTACCCTTACTGCAAACTTTGACAGCAGTAGGTTATAGTGTTTAATATCCTTACCCCTAGATGAATTAAGTTGCATTCAATATTGCTATGATGATGCTAGAAAAAAAGCTCATGTAAAATTTTATAGCCTGAAATGGACACTGTCAAGTACTTTTATATTTTTATACATCCAATTGTTTGTAAATATCCTCTGATAAGCTTGAAAATAAAATTTATTTCCCTATCAGACTTGTTCCTTGTATTTACATGAACTCTTTCTCCTGTAAACTTTTCTTAGAAGTTTCTTCATACTTTTTTGTTGGCATTAGATATACTCTGTGGTGGGAATTCTGGTAGCAGTTGCTTTCTGACAGATAACTTCTTTGCATGCTTCCTACTACCATTCTTATAAAAACATCTTCAAAGATGTCAAGGCATGTTGTTTTGAGTAAGTACCTCAGCTGAGTGCAGCTGACATCTATCAGATCTTGTTTGTCACTGACAAGTTTTAACTTGATTCCTCCACACAGTATTACTCTCAGCTCTGTAGTAAGACCCCTGAAACACTTTATTCTCAGCTCAGTGTGCGCTGATTTCTGTGTATGCAGTCCCTGATATCTACACATGTGGTTTAAGTAGGTCAGTCAGTAAGAGCACTGTGTTGCACTACATGTGCTCTGAAAGCACTCTCAAAACATGCCTAGGCTTTGGAATGTGGGTTGGTCTGAGAAAGGTTGGTAAGAGGAAAATTGCTGGAAAAAATGTGACATTTCATCTTCCTTCAGTTTAAAGATAAATCAAAATGTTTAGTTGTTACCTTACTGCTTACTATTGCAAAACATTTAGTCCATGAAAATATAAAATGCACAGGACTTGATTGCTTTAACCTTAATTTTTTTTTTTTATTTAATAGGTTGCTGCTGAAAGTTACCACTGGTACACATCTCGGTACAGTCATTGAAATTATTTGTGACTGAACTTACTTCAGTGAGAGTTCACCAAATCCAGCAACAGGTGGTAGGGGAGACTTGGATCGTGGATTATCGTTATTGGTAGGACGTACAACTCTGTGATGAGGCAGTAAGGCAAAAAAATGAAAACAGTCTCCCATTTTCTTAGGGTTCATCAACATATCGAAGCTGTGGAGCAATTGCTCGTGAGTTGCTGAGTCGCGTGAATTCTGCAGGAGCACCTAAAAAGAAAAAGAAGGGAGGCTGTAACCTTTCCTGCTTCCCTATACAATCCCTCAGACCTGCCCTTGTATCCTTCCATCTATCCTAGTGTAACAGTCCCATAATGTTCAATAGAACAGATGAGCACTGGTGGAACTCGCACAGTAAGTACATACCAAAATATGGCAGGAGTATAATGAGTTCACTTTGAGGTCTCCAAAGTAATATATATCTTATATATATATATAAGGGAGGTAACTTTATGCTACTTCACACCAACAGGTCATTTTTAACAACTTTTAATAAGAATCTGATTGTAAAGCAGCTCTCTTGCTGCTTGAGAATGCTGCCAGTGGATGAGGAGTGTGCTATATACTGCAAACAGTGCTGTACCTGCAAACACTACTGTACCTGCAACCGGAGCTCAATCCCCATGTTTTTTAAAAACTCCCGTTGCCTTATGGGGCCCAAAGTTGCTGTTCTTCCCTCTGCCATCTTTCGAAGATAACTGAAATCAACATCTGCTGTCAAGTCTGCTGTACCTGGGGCTTTCAGTACATCGTGAAGTTTGTGATTCCGGAAACCCTGAAAAATTAAATTGCAAGATTACACTCAGTTGTATTCCTGGCTGTCAAAGATGTAAGTGAGGCAGGGGCTGAAGTTATGCTTCCTACCAGAGAGAAACCCCGAAAGGTACTGATTAAATGAGAACTCAATTACACCATTTTACAGCTGTGGCAATAGTAGAGTTTTCTTCTATGATGTCCAACTAATTCTTTTTTTGCAGAGAACTTAATGATCCAAGGGAAAAAGAAAAGATAACTGAGTATTTTAGCATAGTATTTCTGGACATACCCGGAACGTGTCAGTCTTGGTTCCATCGTGACCATAATCAGCAATCAGTGCAGCCCCACCATCCTTTTCTATACGACAGGCAAGCCTCTGGATGAGGACGCCAGCCTCAGGACATACTTCCACATGATCTCGTGTTTCTTCAGGCTAGTGCAGAGTTCAAAGACCAAAATGCCTGTATTAGCAAAAAGTACAGGGCAGGAGTATTCCACACATGTCTTGTTGGGACTTATCACTGGGCACAGAGATACAGGGGCACAGTCCAGGCTACCTATAACTTGAGCTAGTTTTTGCTAACGGTCTCTTTCAATTAGAGTTTTCCAAGTTCTCAATTTCTTTCATCTCCTGTACAGCCTACTCATTGGAATGAGGCTTTGTAACAAATGAGAATACTTGCATAGAGTGGAACTGTGTTACTGTGGTAACAAAAATTAGAAACAACACTTCAGCCACGCATACACTTCAGAAAAACCTTTGTGTAAAATCTTGCAGTTGGTTTTAATCTCAGTTAGTTTAAGAATCCAGTGAATTTTAGAGAGAACAAGTCTTAGACACCTGCCATTAAAGGTCAGTATGGCACATATACCCAGTGAGTATGTACAGAGGAGCCTGAGAGCCTGGCTTAGGTACAGCCAGTTTGAGAGGGTGATGTGACAAACACAACATAGAACTGTTTGTTGCTTGCTGCATCCATAAAACATTTAAGCCCCGATTCTGCTAAACTTGATGTACCTGTTTATTGTGCTACACTTTCAAAGCACACAATGTTTAATGCTGGTGGAAGCTTTGTAAAGAAAGAACTGTAAGCTGTGCTTAGTCACTGATGGATGGAGAGGCATCATCTTCCTGCCAAAGTAACTGAGAGGCAGTATGTGACTTTAACGAGACAGTAATGACCTAATTACAAACTCTGACAGGTGTAACCTTACCTGAATAAAGTTTTCTGTTGCAGGGGTCCTGGATGGTGACAGGACAAAGCGCAGCTGGTCAGGGACTTCTGGATCTATATCAACCAACACTTCATGCCAGCCTTTCTCTGTTCTCTGTTTAATTAACCCACAGTACTCATTTTACACTCTAATAGGTATGCAGTATCTTGTTTCGTTGACTGAACTACACTGCCAAGCATTTTTCAAAAGTTCTAATTAAGTACATAATGTGCTATTAATTTACTTGTTATAAGTTACTTGTTGCTAATTGATTTCAGAAACTGCCTTTGAAAAAGCATGTGATAAAAATTAGTCAGTAGACTTGATAAGTACAGGTTGAATTAAAAGGAATAAATGGTGCCATTGAGAACAATTCTTTTGACAATTCATTGTTTAACTTACTAAAATAAAATTATTCTAGCAATAATTTTTCATAAATATTCTGAAACTGAAGTTGAAAGTTTCTTCTGAATCTCATCTAGACTTCATTTTGCTATTCACATCGCCAGTAGTGGTACACACAATAATGCTGAACTGGAAACCTTACTCATGTTGTGTAAGAAATGAGGGGAAAAAAAAAAAAAAAAAAGACTTGTCTAAGCAAAAAGAAGTCTTTAGATTTCTAAAGTTTTTCTTCATGCAAGAACAATTACTAACTTTACAGCTGCCAGGTGAATTAAAGCTTTATTTGTCCAAGCTTATTTAGAAACATTTCATCACCACAGCCAATGCATGTGTCTGGTTTGGTACCATCACTCTATTCTTCTCCAAAGAGAAAAGACCATTAAGCATACGGTCACATTTACCATATTCTTGCTATACCTGAAACTTATGTATTGGCAGGGCATCCAGAAACTCATGCGCTAAGTAAAAACTGTAACCTGGAGGAAGGTAAAAAAAAAAAAAATCAAACATTATATTAAATCATTAATGCTTTTGTAGCAGTTTCTAATGGAAAATTAAAATTATTATTATTTTTTAAACTTCTAAAGCATTGTTAGTTAATGGCACTGAAATAATTATTATTCCCAGCTTGGATACATTAAAGGCAACATATCTACAGCTAGCTATAGTTTCCAGTGCATGGTTTTTGTTGTTTTTTTGTTTTGTTTTGTTTTTTTGGTTTTTTTTTGTTTTAAGATCTGTATCTCATGAAAGGACTATTACAGTTCCTGTGCCTTTATTTAGGCAAAAACAATAAATGGTTTCTAAAGTGAAGAAAAATTTGGAATATATGAAATTGGGTAGCTATCCCAAACTGAAGTTATGATTCTCATTAATAAGCTTAAGCACCTGCCTTGGATTCATACATACTAGCTCCTAATTCTTGCATAACTTCTTTCTTTTACCCACAAGGAAGGTTAGCAGAGCTGTCCTGGGTTACTGCTGTAACAGGATGTTCAAGCCCCTTACCTTGCGGTACGTCCTGAATGTCTCTGTACCAGTAAATGGGAATTCCAGTCTTGCTAATGCCTTTCATGTATGCAGATTTGTTCTCAGGGTTTGACTGCACCTTTCCTCCTGTCAGCATCTCTGCTTGGATCGCACTGAGTTTAGGACTCACTTCTACCAGATGAATAGAGACATCACATTTACTAAGTACAGAGGCAAGTTGGTTGAAGACCTGCAAAGGCAGAGAAGTTCTATAAGGTACAGTCATATTCTGTATACCTTCAAGAGCGAAGAATGAACGTGATGTGATTAAGGGTTAAGGATAAGACTGAGTTAGCTTTCATTCACTAAGACAGTCTCAGTTAAGACAACTGCATTTTGCTTCTCTAGAAGGAAAATAAAATAACAGAATATAATAAAAGCTGCTACAGTTCTAACAAAGTTGGAGGACTATAACATATAATAATAAGGACATGAAATGTTAGTCACTTTAAAGCTCCTACTCTTTTAAATTAACTTTTCTAATATCTGTAGAGCGCTTAGCACTGAAAGAAAAACAGCTCTGTTTTCCCAAACAGCATAAGCAAAACATGTTCAGTATTACATATTTCCCTGTGCAGATTTTTATCATTAACACATAAATCTGAAACTTCTGAGATACTAAATCCCATTATCAGTGTGTTTTTGAATTATTAGTATGTTAATTACTTGATAACCATGCTCCAGTATAAGAATAAGGAGGGTTAACTCAAGCAATAAACCCAGCAAGCCCCAGAAGACCCAGGGGAATCCAACACAGATTCATTCCTGCATTCTTGTCCTCTCTGCTCCCTGCTGTTGCAGGCACGGAAGCCTCACATTTATGCAAGCCTGGATAATGTATTTTCATAAATAAGCTGCCATGGAATATTCCTGCCTTCCCTGTCAAGCAGTGTTTGTGTGGTTACATGTGTGCCTGCACTGTCCTGCTGTCCATACAGAAACCTGGGCCCTTCTCTAAACATACAGACATGCACGTTTTAGTTAGTCAATGCTGCAAATCTGATTGCAGTGATGTGGCTACTTAAGAACATTAAACTCCAACAGCAGAACCTCACTTCTTCAGATCACTGTGCAGCCAGTGAATAAGGCCAGAATTAAGGAGCATTAAAGTTAGCTTTCACCTACCCGCAGTATATCGTCTGTGAGGGTGCCCGTCCCTGGGCCCAGTTCCACCAGCTGGAACGCATTCTGCTTACCCATGGCCATCCACTCACTAACGTACCATATTCCTATTAACTGATAGAAACAACACAAAGAGATACACGTGAACTCCAGAATCTGTGGGAAGTGACACCTGCCTTCTGCCTGCTAATAGCTAAGAGTGGTAATACGTTATCTCAGAACTTACAGATGGTGTTCCAAGCTATAAAACCAGAAAGGGCTTCCCAGCCTCCTGCAAAAACAAGCCACTCTCCTAGACCAAGTCCTCTTTCATAGAATCAGAGACTCATTAAGGTTGAAAAGACTGTGAAAATCATCTAGTCCAGTCACCGACCCATCCCCACGTCCCTCAGTGCCACATCCACTGTCTTTGAACACTTTCCATGGTTGGTGATTCCCCCACCTCCCTGTTTTTCCTAATATCCAACCTGAACCTCCCCTGGCACAACTTAAGGCCACCACCTCTTATCCTATTGCTGTTACCCACATGAAGAGGCCGACCTCACCTCACCACAACCTCCTTTCAGGCTGCCGTAGGTCTCCCCTGAATGTCCTCGTCTCCAGACTGAACCACCCCAGTTCTCTCAGCCGTCCCCAACTAACATCAGCGCTCCAGATCCCTCACACCTTCGCTGCCCTTCCCTCAGGGCCCCAATGTGCTTTTTGACCCAAAACTCAGCACGGCACTGGAGACGCAGCCTCAAATCTTTTGGGCGGACGCCTTCCAACGGAACGAAACCTAAACCTCACTGAGCGGGAAAGCGGGACACGGGGACTGCGCGTCACCTCTCCAAATATCTGGCTGATCTCCGGCGAGGTGATGAAGTCCTCTCCGACGCCGCCCCGCCGCGTGTAGTAGCCCTGCGAGGGGAGGAGATGAGCACCGAAGGGCCGCGGCGCTCGGTTCGGCCCCCGCCCGGCCCCGCCGCACCTGCCCGGGGTTGGTGAGCGCTTCCCGCATGTACTCCGCCACCGTCACCGGCCCGGTGGCGCGCAGCTTCAGCAGTAGATGCCGCAGCACTCCGCCGCTCCCCGCCGCCTCCTCCTCGCCCCCCGCGCACGAACGGAGCCGCGTCGCCAACGGAGTCAGGAGAGAGGAGAGGAGCCGACGGCGGCCGGCGAGGCGCGGGGCCGCGGCCAGGAGCGCACGGCACGCCTGCGGCGGTGGCATGATGGGCTGCGGCACCGCCGACCGCTCCTCCGCGCCGGAAGCGGGCGCTGCGCCTGCGTCGCCGAGCCGCCTTCCTGCGGGCTGCCATGGCGGCGCTGGGGGACTGGGGTGTGAGGCGGCGGCCGGAGGAGGCGGCCGGCTACGAACTGGATGAAGATGATGACGACGACGGCGGCGGTGGAGGTCCCGATGGGTTCACGCTGGACGAGGTGCTCCGCCTCGGCGGCACCAAGGTGAGGGGAGGCGGGAGGGAGAGGGAGAGAGAGCGCGTGGGCCCGCGTGCAAGCCGCGTGTAACCGCCTCGCTGCCGCCCGCAGCAAGACTTCCTCATGCTGTGCGCCGTGGACGAGGCGGAGGAGATGGTGGACGGCGGCAAGAAAGGTGCCATCGACGATCTGAAGGAGGGGGAGCTGGAGGCCTTCATCGGCTCTTTGGGGCTTGGCAAGTATGCGAAGAGCTGCCTGGGTGAGGAGGAGGAGGAAGAGGAGGAGAAGGAGAAAAAGGGTGGCAAAGAGAAAGAGAAGACCCCAAAGAAGGAGAAAAGCAAGAAGGAGAAAAGCAAGGAGAGAAGCAAGAAAGAAACAATTTCTTCTTCATCAGAAGGGAAAAAGGAAAAAAAAGCCGAAGAGCAAGTGAGTGGTAGAAAAGACAGCAAGAAGAAGCTAGCACGCCAGCAGCAATCAGTACAGAAGGAGAGGCTGGAAGAGGACTTCACATTTCGTGCTAGGGAGGTGATACTGGTCAAACCTGGCGGCAAGTGGTACGACCTGGAGTACACCGGTGAGACTTCTGCTGAGCCACAGGATCCAGCCCTCCTGTCCCAGTACAAGGCCTTGGCCCAAAAGCTGTACCAGCATGAGACAGAGCTGTACAAGAACAAGACGGAGTATCAGAAGGGAGCCTCGTCGGCGTGGATGAAAACCGTTGTGTCGTCAGGCACCCTCGCTGACAGGATGGCAGCCATGACCCTCCTCATTCAGGACAGCGCTGTCCACAGTCTCCACTTTGTTGAGAACTTGGTGAACCTCGTAAAGAAGAAGGGCAGCAGACAACAGAGCCTCATGGCTCTGGATACTTTCAGAGAGCTTCTCCTTTCAGATCTCTTACCGGATACTCGCAAGCTGTGGTCTTTCTCACAGCGTCCATTTAACAACATAGAGAAAATGTCGAGTGGCAACAGAGATTCAAGGGACAGACGGCTGATACTGTGGTACTTTGAGCACCAGCTGAAGCTGCAGGTGGCAGAGTTTGTGCAGACCTTGGAAATACTGAGCCATGATTCCCTGACAGCAACAAAAACCCGAGCGCTGGCAGCTGCCCACGAGCTTCTCTGCAACAAACCTGAACAGGAGAAATTTCTGCTTGTTCAGCTGGTAAATAAACTTGGAGACCCTCAGAACAAAATAGCCACCAAAGCCTCTTACCTTCTAGAGACTTTACTTCACAAGCATCCAAATATGAAAGGAGTGGTGTGTAGTGAGGTGGAGAGACTTTTGTACCGCACAAACATCAGTGCAAAGACTCAGTATTATGCCATGTGCTTTTTAAATCAGATAGTCCTCAGTCATGAAGAAACTCCATTGGCCAACAAGCTGATATCTTTGTATTTCTGTTTTTTTCGGAACTGCATTAAGAAAAAAGATGTTGAATCCAAAATGCTCAGCGCTCTTCTTAGCGGGGTAAACAGAGCTTACCCTTACGCTGAGATTGGTGATGAGAAAGTGAAAGAACAGATGAACACCTTGTTTAAAGTTCTGCACCTTGTGAACTTCAGTACCAGTGTCCAGGCCTTGATGTTGCTGTTCCAGGTTATGGACTCCCAGCAGACTGTATCCGATAGGTACTACGCAGCGCTGTATAAGTAAGTGACATGTTTGGATATTTGGTAAAAGCTTAACTGCCATTAAGATTTTGCAAACTTTGTGTCCCACTGAATAAACATTTCTGATGTTTACTGTGGGCTAGAAAATAACACACATAATTTTTTTTTAATAAGATGGGGATAAGAGGACAGTGGGCGGCTGTGAGAACGTGCCTTTGCACTGTTTTCTGGTTTTAATTCCAGATACGTTTTAATACTATTTGATAATTACTTATTCTGAAATAGCTTTTACAGACAGTGTGTTTTAGTGATGTAATAGCCTAAAATCCTGTTGTCTGTTTTTCGTAAGGGAGGAAAGCCCTATGTCAACATGATCCTTAGATGACTTAATTTGTTGGGTTGGGAAAACTCGTGTTCTAAAAGAATCTCCTTTTTGATCCTAGGTGATTATTTAGACACTTGGTAGGTTCCGTACAGGCTTCTGGTTAATTGATACTGATTTTATAAAGGGAGCTCGGGTTCCCCAAGACTATGCAATGCATTTTGAGGCCTTCTGTACCACATAGTGTCAGAAAAAAAGTGAATAGAAAGTGGACTTGCTGACACAGGTTATCTGGCCTGATTGTGAAGCCTGACAGTTGCCAACCATTTTCTTTCTACTTTTTCGGTTATCTGAATAGGTCAGATTAGTTTCTCACTTGTACGTCCTCAATTTTTAAACTTCTGTGTTGAACTCAGTTTTAAATATATGTATATATATTTATATTTATTTCATTTACTGATACAGGTTTTTTTTTATAATGTTAATTGTTTGTTATGGACTTGCAGATATTACACAGCTGTTGACATTTTCAACATTGTTCATAATGGTTTGTTCTACTGGAGAACAAGCTGTGACTGTACCTCTGGATACCTGTCTGAAAAATGTGGATAGTAGTTTTTGATAGCAGTTATTCTCCAGTGTGCGTTATGACGATTAATTCTCCTTTGTTTTCTACAGGAAGCTTCTGGATCCTGGTTTAGCAGCCTGCTCAAAGCCGTCCATGTTTCTTAACCTTGTCTATAAATCTCTGAAGGCAGACGTGGTGTTACGGCGAGTGAAGGCCTTCGTGAAGAGGTTGCTTCAGGTCACTACTGGACAGACACCACCCTTCATTTGTGGAACCCTGTACCTTCTGTCTGAGCTTCTGAAAGTAAAACCAGGCCTGAGGGTCCAGTTACAGGATCACGTGGTATGATTACTTTATTCCGTAGGGCTAAGAGAGATGTTCACCTTTCCCTAACCTATTTCTCTTTGTGAATAATTCTTCGTATCTGGAAAGGACTGGCTTGTAAAATGGAATTCTTAAGAGATTTTGTTAATATCTGATTTTTCTGTGGCAAAAAGTACTTCAACAATTACAACTGCATTAAAAATCTGCAAAGGTGTTGTCTGCATTCCTAGCAGGTCCTACAGCCTTCATTCATGGAGGAAGTTCTTTTGCTAAATGCTGTGTAAGTAAGCAGATAAATGCTCCAGTCCAAAAAGTTTTGTCAGAACATGGCCTTCTTCTTTATGCAGTCTCTGAAGTATAACCAGGCAGTATTTAAATAATATATTATTTTCTTTCATCAAATGAGGATGGACTTTTGCACTGACGACTGTATAACTGTATGATTGCAAAGTTCAATTGTAGTCTTGTATTGTGGCCAAAAATATATGTTGTCTAAACATGCTGATTCTTCAGAAGTATGTGGATTTTTCTAACAAATTGTAATAAAACTGAAAAAGAAAAGCTGTTCACAAACATTTTCTTTATTATTTAGGAGTCTGATGAAGAAGAGTGCTTTAAGGATCAAGAAGAGGTTGAAGAGAGTGAAGAAACATTTGTGGATGCAGACAAAGTAGAGAGGGAAGAGAGGAGCGCAACAGAAAATTCTGCTAAAACTAATCATCTGAGTTCAGCAGCCTCATGGGTGCATCATGAGAATATGGGAGGTAAATTAGCAAGAAAACATAATGCATTCAAGTCCTAACATTCAGTAAAGGTGGCATACTGATCAAGACTGGTAAAATTAATTAGAACATAATTTTAGTTTTTCAAATTGAAGTTTGATTCAAAGCAATCAGAATCATTTTTTTTCCTCTTTCTGTTAGCTCAGCAGTAGTGAAGAGACAGTATTCATCTTTTAGCTGTTTTCTCTAACGGGTTAGTGTGTTTGTGCCCAAGTCATAAACAAACTGGATTTTTTTTCTTCCAACTTGAAAGACATTCAGAGTAACGTAGCCATTGTCAGGATGTGTGTAGGTGCATATTCAGTTGAACATTGCTAGAACAACCAACCTGTCTAGCTCTGAGCCTGCTTCTAGCTTTGCTCTTTCCTGATGGCCTTTTCATAGAGTCATAGAATTATCAGTCTGGAAAAGATGTTCAAGGTCATCAAGTTCAAGCCATCCATCTGACCCACCAAGTCCCATCACTAAACCGTGTACTGTAGTGCCACATCCACACGTCTCTTAAATACCTCCAGGGATGAGGCCTGTACCACATCTGGGCAGCCCATTTCAGCACATGACCACCCTCTGAAGAAATTATTTCTGATGTCCAATTCAAACCTCTGACACAATGCAAGGCCATTTCCTCATGTGCCATCGCTTTTCACCTGAGAAAAGAAACCAACATCCTCCTACCTGCACACTCTTTTCAGGCAGTGTTGAGGTCTCCATTCAATCTCTTGTTCTCCAGACTCAACAGCCCAAGTTCCCTCAGCCACTCCTTGTAACGCTTATTTTCTGGTCCCTTCATCAACTGCGTTGCTCTTCTCTGCAAACTCATGAGCAACTCAGTATCTCGATAGTCCCAAACAGTATGTTGAGGGTCCCAAAACTGATCATAGCATTCAAGGTGTGGTCTGACCAATGCTGTGTACAAGGGGACAATATTTCCCTTCTAGAACAGAGAAGGAGTTTTCAAGGGCTTTCCTGAAAGCAAGTAGGAATTCACCTGGTCATACTGTGGGCTTCTGGATTTAATCTTTTTCTGCTACTGCATGAATCTGTGGTCTCTCTAGCAAAGAATGATGAACAGCATTGCTGCCACGGTGAAATGAAGATAATACTCTCCTGAGTTTTTTTTGAGGAAATGTAATAGTCTTTTTCTATCTCTACTGTCCCCCAGGGAAAAAGAATGGGGTCTCCTATGATCCTTTGCACCGAAGTCCTTTATACTGTGGTGCTGAAAGTACAAGCCTTTGGGAACTGAAGAAGGTAAAGCATCCTCCTGTTAGTGCATACTGTGTTTCTTAGTGTGGTCCTTGTATAAAGAAAAGAAAATTAATTTTGTTATTTCTGGAGTGGTTATCTCAGTCACATGACAAAAAGTTAAAGGTCACACTGCTCAGCTCTAAGGCTGTATGTGCTGTATTTGGTGGTGTTATTCCAGAGTAGGAATAGTAATTTTGTAGTGGAGATTGATGTATGATCTTTTTTAGACTTTTGAATCTTTGCTTTCATTAATGAAGCCTTTTGGTGTTTAGTTAAATAAAACTATAGTCGTGGATACTTTCGGTTAATGCTAACAAAAAATTAGAACTTGACATTCCTTAGTTGTTTGGGAGCAGAGCCCCAGTACGTGCTTGTGTGTTGTTTGGTGAATTGCAGAGTGGTCTGCAAATACAGTGTTGTCAGAAGCCTATGGCAACATGAAAAACGATGGCATTTATTTTTGAAGTAGAAATAAAGAAATGTTTTTGTTTTTCAGCTTTCTGAACATTTTCATCCGTCTGTTGCTCTCTTTGCAAAAACAATTCTAGAAGTAAGTACTTTTACCTGTCTAGCTGTGATTTTTATTAGCTATCTTTTGCCATTAAAAACAGTATAAAGCTTTATTGCACTCTGCAGGTTGCTAGAAGTTCTGCAACACTGTGAGTAACATGCACTCAAAGACAAAGCTTTTCACTGAATTAGTGCTTTATCTAAATGAGACTGTTCACAGAAGGAAATAACTGGGTTGAAAAGTGCATATTATGTGATCCTTAGACTTGTTTTAGATTTTGGTCTGTCTGCATGAAGTGTTCTATTTCTGATGTGAGAGGGCTCTGTTTTTGGAACACAACTTCTTCTTAAAATACTGTGATGATATCATGCACAAGTGCCTACTTAGAATTTTTATTTTCTTTTACATATTTGGTATTCAAGTTGTACTGACTATTAACTTAGTAGTTGCAAATGTAGTTGCAAATGAATCGCTGTCAATAAAAATGTTTCTCTTTTAGCACAGTGCATGGCAAGGCAGTTCATCACTGAAATGAAGTGAGGGAGGTGCTTTTTGAAGAAAACAGTGAGATTCCAAGAATAAAAGCATGAAGGAGCGGGTTAACTTGTCAGGCTTAAATGATGAGATATCCCCAAATCTTTATTGTTGTTTGATGGACCATTTGAGCCTCTAACTATATGTTGCTGTCTTTTGAAAATGAAGATCACAAACATTTTCTTATTTCAGGGAAATCACATTCAGTACTCCGGTGACCCTTTGCAAGATTTCACATTAATGAGATTCTTGGATCGCTTTGTGTACAGAAATCCCAAACTCCACAAAGGCAAAGGTGAACTTCTTTGCATTTGATTTTGATTGTTGATGGTGAAACTCTCAGATTGTTAACGACCTACGCTTGTCAAATATTTGGAGTGCACATGGTGCACCAGAGGAGTGACATCAGTCTGCAGGGCTGTGTGAAAGATATCTGTAATTTAGAACCAGCTGCTAGCCACATAGTGTTGCCTCTTTATCAGAGTTTCAATAACTGCCAAGGTAGCAGGAATAAATGTAGGGGAGTGTAATGACTGAGCACAGAATAATCAAGGTTGGAATGCATCTGTTAGAGATCATTTAGTCCAACTCCCCTGCTTAAGCAGGCTGCCCAGGACCATATCCAGGTGGCTTTTGAAGATGACATCTACAGAGGGAGAATGCACAGCCTCTATGGACAGCCTGTGCCTGTACTCAGCCAATCTCACAGTAAAAAGTGCTTCCTGATGTTCAGATGAGTACAAACCCCATTTCCTCACCTTTTCCCCGGACCCTTCTGAAAATAACCTGACTTTATCTTCTTTGTACATTCCCTTCAGATATTTGTGCACATTGGTGAGATTCTCCCTTAAGTCTGTTCCAGGCTGAATAATCCCATTTCTCGTGGCCCTTCTTCACAGGAGAGATGCTCTCATCCTTTCATTTTTAAGGCCCTTTCCTAGGCTCTCTGTAGAATGCACATCTCTTGTACCGGGGGCCCAGAACTGGGCACAGCCCTTCAGGCATAACTTCACCAGGACTGAACAGAGGGAGAGGATCCCTTGCCTTGGCATGTTGTAACACTCTTTCTAATGCAGTTAACATTGATTGTCTTTGAGGCAAGGGCGCATTGCTGGTTCCTGGTCAACCTGCTGTCTCTCAGGGCCTTTTCTGCCAAGTTGCTTTCCAGCTGGGTGACCCCCTACATATATATTAATTTCTGGGGTAGTATCTCCCCAGTTGCAGGACTTCCTGCAGTTGTCTTTGCTGAACAGCATGTTTTACAGCCTGTCAGGATCCCTCTGGATGGCAGCCATTCCTCTCAGCTTTGTATAAGTTCTAATAAAGTAGAACTTTTTTACTAAAGTAATGTTTCTGATTTATGTTCTGCTACAGAGAACACCAGTAGTGTGGTAATGCAGCGGAAGAAGAAGCAGTTCATGACAGATATACGAAATCTGGCAGGTAGGCTGGCCTCCTTTCTTTTAACATTATGATTGAGAAACTGTTCTTTTGAAGTTAAAAAAGAAAAAAGTCTTGGCTGGTGTTTGTGAACATCCATCCTCTGTGCTGTGCTGTTTCTGTTGTCTCAATCACTGTCTATTTGAGTAGAAAAACAGTTTATCTTCTGCTGTACCACTGCTTAGCTTTAGTCAACAAATCTTTTCAATACCTTTTCTCCTTGTATTTTCCCTCTAGTTGTCAATTATTTTCTCATAGCAATTCCTTTTTATTAGGCAGTGCATCATCAACCTTACATTTTCTCCTTGCCATTAGAAAATGTATAACAGCATAGTACAGAGTGCCTGAAAACAGCATGCCTTTTTGTCTACTGTGTTATTTCTGCTATTGCCTGCATGTATTTTCTGTATTTTCTCATCCTAATTACCTTTTTTTTTTTTCCAGCATCTCATACAAGGTGATAAATTCGCTGGGTAGAGAGTAAATTTTGCAGTCTTGTGTAAAAAGTTTAGAACATTGTTACAGATTGGCTTGTAGCTGGCAGTGTGACACCTTGGGAGCAAAAATGCTGCTAAAAAACATAACCAGCCTTAGAGTTTCTTCTGGCTAATTTCAATTTTATTTAGAAGAACAATTTGTTAGGCTATTAACTTTAGAGATACTATGTTTACAAAATAGTAAGTTTCCTGCTCAAATATATGCCATTTTTATGTCTGGATTCCTAGTTTTTTTGCTCCATGAGATTTCTAAAAATATACCTAGAGTTATATAAAAATCTTTAAATGTAAGCTGCTCTATTATAGTTAATGCAGTAGTAGTATGCAGTTAATGAATTTGTTTCCAAACTATCATATGATCCCATTAATTCTGCTTAATATAATTGAAAAGTGACTTACAATCTTGGAAAATGGATTTATGTAACAATGTAAATTGTACTAAGCTCTTTCCTTAGATTATGTGGATTACTTCAAACAATGCCACAGCTGTGGCTTTTAGGATTTGTGTTCAGCATCTCTTCTGTTCTTCCTTTGGTAGGTAACTACCTGCCTACAGAAAAAAGCTGGGTTTTGCCCCAGTCTTTACAGTGATTATGGGCAAGGTTTGATGGTAAGAACCAGTAGTTAAAAGCAGGATAAAACTTCAGACTTGTTCCTTGAGCATAGAAGAGGTACCATAATCTGTGGGGAAGCCTCTAACATTCCCACAGATGTACTTCCTGTAACTTTAGATCTGATGTGTTAAGCAGGAGCTTTATTAATACAGATTAACTGTTGTGCCCTTAGTGATGTATGTTTTTCTGGCCATGAAAGCTTAAATAATTCTTATCTAGAATGCATTTGAGGATGTAATTTGTTATTGCATTCTTTAGTTTATTGTTATTTGAAGGAACAAACTGAACACTTACTACAAGTTGAGGAAATTAAGTATTTTACAAGTGAAATGTCCAAAATAGGATTTATATATTATAGGTAGGCACTGCTGAGGCATGAAGAACTGAGGTTGCAAATCCTCTGATACCTTCTACTATTCATTTGAACAGTTGTTTTGTATGCTGATCTCTTTTCAGAAACGAACCTTTGTCACTTAGGAAATATTACCATGTATGTCCACTGAGATAAGCAGTAGCATGTTCTTCTGAGGAGAGGGAGGAAAGTGAAAGACACGAGAGGGAAAGCTTCTTCACAGGGCCAATCGTTGATACCCTAATTGATCTGGTGCTGCAGATGTCATACTTTGCCCTGTTTCTTTAGAAATGGTGGTAGAGTAGGGCTGGATCCATTCTTCAGCATGCTTGATCGGCTTCTGGTACATGGCTGTCATTTCAGCTGCATTGCTTCTTACTGCCAGGGTTGCTGGGCGGTAGCAGTTCTGCTGTTCCAGTGGATGAGAGCTGGCTTACATTATTTCCTACTTTTTTTTTTTTTTTTTTTTTTTTTTTTAATAAGAATTAAAACAAAACAAAAAGTATCCCTGGGGTAGGTGACTTCAAAACCTCACTTGTTGGCATTTAAATTAGAACCTGGCTGAGTTTTTCCAAGGGGCCTTGCTCACAGCTAGTTATCAGTATATCCAAAGAACTGTTGATTTGAAGTTTGTGATGAATTCACTTTATGCAACAGACAGCACTGAGCACAGTACTTCTGTCTGTGCTGCTGTTTAACCACTTGTGACACCACTGAGAAGAATAACAGTCATTTCAACTTGAAGTAAAATCAGTTCTTTTTGGCTTTTGCAGTCAACAGTAAGGAATTCCTTGCCAGAGATGAAAGCAAAATCCCAGTGGATGAATTATTTTTTCACAGGTAATGAAATATTTATGAACATTCATTTTAAGAGTTTTTTAATGCAATGCCTTCAAAAAAAAAGTTACATCTAATAAGTATTTGCTAGTGTTCCATGTGCTTGCAAGTTTTAATTAATTTGAATGACTTGTGATGACAGTTTCCTTAGAACATAATTTCAGAATTTATCAAAAGGAAAGAATATCATGAATGAAAGCAGTCAGTGCTTGGAAACTATACATCAAATAATAGTATTGTTATGATAAATACACCTAAACTCCGGGTGATAATGAATGGCTCATGGGTTGTAATTCTTAAGTATCAGAGGTAGATTTAATATAAGTTAGTTGGTAGATTGTGGGGTTTTTTTTGGTCTGGGGAAGAGGAAGCTGAGGGGAGGCCTTATTGTGCTTTTCAAATATCTGAAAGGTGATTGCAGTGAGGATGGGGTTGGTCTCTTCTCACTGGTGACAGGATGAGGGGAAATGGCCTCAAGTCGTGCTAGGGTAAGTTTAGGTTGGATATCAGGAAAAACTTCTTTACAGAAAGGGTTGTTAAGCACTGGATTAGGCTCCCCAGGGAGGTGGTGGAGTCACCATCCCTGGATGTGTTTAAAAACCATTTGGATGTGGTGCTCAGGGACATGATTTAGTGGAGGGTTGTTAGATTCAGGGTAGTATGGTTAGGTTGTGGTTGGACTTGATGATCTTTAAGGCCTTTTCCAACCTGAGCCATTCTATGATTCTAAGTTGAACTTAGTTGACACTTTCCAGATCTACACATCTTCCTTTTGCCCTTTTATAAATTCACTATGTTCAAAATGATTTCTAGCACCTCTGTGGAATTGTATTGTTTTAATCTTACAGTAGTGACTTACAGCTCGAAAAAGAAAGAAAATACAAATCTCTGTTCTGGGATGTGTTTGAAATAGTTAACTTACTCTTTTCAATTGGAAAAATACACAGTTGAATCCATCTGCTGGGTTGTTTTTTTACTTCTTTTTTTTTTAATCTTACAAAGAATTACCTGTAGCTTTGTGCCTGAAAGTAATATGCTGTTTCAGATTTTATACAAAGTTTGATAAAACAAGAGAGAAACACAGACGCCAGGAGGATGAAGAAAGTGTAGAAGATGTGGATGATGATGAGTTTGAAAGAGCATTGGGTAAAGTTGCATTTTTCCTTGCAGAAACTATCCTGGTATTTCCTGCTTTTACAAATTATTAATGTATCCTTTTTGTATAAAATAATCTGGTACATGAATGTGAAAGTGGAAGAAAATTGACTTTCAATTCCTGTTCTATGCTACTGTATTTAACAATACAGCTTGTTTAGCTCAAGTAGGAAATTTTGGGTGTTTGAGTGTAAACAAACTGGCACAGATCTGTTGCTGCTTCTTTGTTCATTTCCAAGTGTAGCCTGAGAATGAAATAACATTTTCTTGTAGCCTGTTCTTTTTTTACTGCCTGATCTTTTTAAACCTTCCTTAGAGATTCTGTCATAATTCCTAACATCTCTCATGAGATGAGTTGTTCAGTTAGGGCCTTGGCAAACTTCTGACCTGGAAATTAGCCAACAGATCAGCTGTCAGGACATTCATTTGCAATATCCTAATTGAGTTTTTGTCTGACTTGGATACTGTCTGATGCCGATCAGAAATTATATTCTGGAAAAAGAAAACTGTCATTATTATTTAAAGAGCGATCTATCTATCTATTTTCATTGTGTTTTATTTATTTTTCTTCAGAAAAAGTCCAGTTATTTTAAAGTAACTGTTTTGTGGATTATTTTCCTGTGGGAGTATGAACCGTTTAATATCAGATCTATTGATGCAGATCATATAAGTTGTTCAGGAAAACAATACTTAATATTTTGCAATAACTTCATAATTTTTGTTTGACACTTTGTAGTAAAAAGTATTTTTTTCCCCAGATGCATTTGAAGCTGATGATAGTGCCGCTGGTGTTAGCCAGGATGACCTTGATTTTGCGGGGTAAGACTTCAAATCAGTTCTTTCATCTTTCAGCTTATCATTTTTGCAGCAAAAAAAGAAAAGAAAAAAGGCAGTGGCAGTTAAATGCTGGGTAGTGCAGCTTTTCTGCATCCCTCGGAATGGAGCATTGTGATTCAGTGGTGCTTACAGGACCTTTGCTTGGAGCATGAGACCTGTAGTATTTTATCTGTACAATGCAGTAACCCGGTAAACAAGGTGTAATCCTACTTGGCTTTCATTGTCTCTGGTTTCTGTTTGGGAATTACCATGTACAAAAGGAAACAAAATGAGGCATAGTTGTGCTGCTGCTGTCAGGACTGGTTGTAACTGGACCTAACTCAGGGAATAAACTGGGGTCCAGAATCACAGAGCTCAGTTTTCAGGAAGTCAGCAGTTAATTAGTGATTGATTAACCTCTTCTTTTAGTTAAAGTATCTTCAGTATACCCTTAAAATCAGCATAGAATATTCTTTTTAAAAATTGAAATAAGAATTAAAGTTTAAACTCTTACTGAAATGTTTCTGTGATCCAGGTGGGTGGGAGTAAAAAATAAGAGGAGACTTAAAACAACAACTAAGCATCTAGCATCTAAAGAGCTGCATTTGCTTTCAGTGGAAAAAAAGAAGAGGTTCTAATACAGAGATCAAACATACTATGTGGTTTTTATGGAAAAGACTTTCTGATAAGAAGCAAAGACGCCTGGAAAGACTCAGTTTATTTTAGAATAGGATTGTCTCCAAAACTTCTTAACATTACTGAGTTTTTAACAGAGTTCCATACCTGTGTGCATAATACTTTTATTATATTTATTATTAATGTATTTACAGAATTTGCTGTGATGTTTTACTTTTCTACCGTATTGTTCACAGGTAGATGGATGTTATCTGGCAAACTGTATTCTACCATATGATGTGTTAAACCTGTTATGTATTTTTTTAGTAATATAAAAAAGAAAAGCAATGGAAATAAGAAAAGCAGAAGTGAGGAATCCGGTGCTGACTGGGAGGATTCTGATGATGAAGATGAGTTCAGTGACCTGGATGATGAGGAAGTCTCCTTAGGAAGCATGGAGGAAGATGATTTTGAAGAGGATATGAATGAGGAAGGAGGCGTATTTATGGATGTGTCTGATGATGATAACAGCCCAGGTGAAGTAACATTTAATATAAAAACAACAACAAAAACAAAAAGAAAAATCTTTTAAAATAGATTATTTAATTTGCTATTACGTATTTAAATTAATATTTGGTTATCTGGGTGTAAGGTTTGGATTTTAAGTGAAGAAATGTTTCTCTTGTCGATCAAGAATTCAGAAAAACAACATTTTCTGCACAGTCTATGAGACGAAAAGGGGAGTTATACATGAAGTTCAACAGTTTGCATACAAGACATGTTTTCTTGATGCTAAAAGCATTGGCAGAACAAAAGCAGCTTTGTAATGGCTACAGTACACAAGCATATTAAAAGATTTCAAAGAGGAAAAAAAATCTGTTCCTAACATTTTTATTTCTTTAGGTTAGTTAATGTTAATTTTTAGATGAGGTAACTTTCTACATTAGTGGCTTGCAAATAACAGCTTACTCTTCCAGTGCAGCTGTGCACCTCTATTTTTATTACCTCTGTAACAGTAACTGATTGCTGCACCTTTATGCCTTTATTGTCTCTTCAACTGAAAAGCATGGGTTACTCAGAATGTACTTTCTGTAGCTGGCAAAGCACAAATTAATGGAGTATTTCAAGTAATAACTTAAGGTCACAGGACTATGATTGAAGATTGAGCAGATAAATTACTCATACAGCTATTAATACATGAATCTTTAATAAGACTGTTATTTCATCATACTTAAGCAGACAATCAAAGTTTACATAATGTCCTAGCCTTCATATGTTAAATATCTTAGTTTCTCACCTTATTAATATTTGGTGCTTTGGGAAAAAAAGCATAAAGGCACATCACTGAGCAGTTCTTAATTTTATGGCTTTAAGAAATCAAGGTTCAGTTGTGTCCACTGTGTTTTAAACTTATTTTTGAAGATTCAGATCATTGAGATAGATTTATGTCTAAATAGATATTTGTATAGTGTGCTTTAAGTACATGCAGAAGGTGTGAGAATGAGGAACTCATTTATTATTTTTTTCTGTCAGACCTTAACAACGACAATCAATCGAAGTCTATCAGTAAAAAGACCAAGAGAAAAAAAGATATGAATTTTATGGGATCACGTGAAGGTAAGGAAGTATTTCAATTTGAGAAGGCCTAATACAAATGGGAAAAATTGTAACAAGAAGAGTCCAGTACAGTAGATTTGTGGATCATGATTCAGATTTCAATACACCATAGAAGAAAAGGAATTGGTTATAGCCTTGTCCTCTAAACAGTGTGGTCTAATTCAGAATGATGATCTGCTCTTGAAGGGCTGGGGATCAAAGGAAGTGTATTTGAAGAATGGAGTTGTACTGGCAAAGTAGTTTGTGGGTTTGCATTTGCTACTAATACACACTGTGTAGATTTATCCTATTTAGTTCCCGCTGGAAAACTTTTTCCCCCATTCTTTTTAGGGGAGGTGGTGAATAAAGTTTTCTAACAGATTATTTTAGGTGATCTTATTAAATTTGAAAAACAAAACAAACAAACAGAACCAACAAAACTATTTATAACACCTCTGTAGTAGTGTTACTGTGAATTTGAATTTCTGTCTCATAAGAATCGTACTTCTTGTTTGAAGGATCCAGCCAAGGAAAGAAGAGAAAACTCAAAGATGCCAAAATACTGGCAGCTGCTGAAGAGGTACGTTAGATCAGTGCTCAGGAAAATAAAAAAAGTTCAAGCATTTTACATGCTTCTTTGTAGTAAAATAAGAAAATTTCTGTTTTTTAAAGATTGGCTATCTGCTGGATGAAAATGCTGGGTCCAAGTTTGACAATATTGGAATGAATGCCATGGCTAACAGAGACAATGCAAGTAAGTACATGCTATGGAGAGCAGGTAGTTGTAGTGCTCTTCTGCTTCTTTCTCTTTAGATTCTGTACTTGAAGTTTTGTGATATACTCTAAGTGGGGTACAAATAAGGTTAGCGAGAACACAGGAGGGAAAGTAGCTCAATGTAATTAAGAGATGATGTATTTTTCAGTTAAAAGATGTGCAATGCTAATATTAATTGTAACAATTGGACTTAATAAGGCTTCAGAAAAGGGGTGGCTTTTTTTTCCTCCTTTCACACTGTAAATAAAAATTGACGGTGTGCCATCTGTCAAGCTTTCATATGAATTTTGCTCTCATCAAGAGTATCATGGATCCTTGTGAAGGGAAGATAGCATGGCTATCTTTACCTACCTACTGGAAATGCTTCCTCATGATATTGATGAAGCAAAAGTAATTTGTCAGAGATAACGCTGATGAATTAAATGTGTATTTCTTTGAATAGTCAGTCCTTTGTAGGGCCTTTACAGGCCTTTCTGATGTCACCTGAAAAAAATAGTAATGTACTGCATACTTGTACAGGAGAGCATGTAGCATTAAAAAAAAAAAAAAAAGAAAATCAATGTTAAGAGCGGTCTTAAACCCCAAGATTCTGAGATAGTAGGGTGTGTATTGTGAAGAAAAAAGTTCTCTGGTGTCAAAAAAATCAGCAGTTTGCATTTTATTAATGTTTATAAATAAATTAGTCAAGTCTCAACTTCTACATGATTTATCTGTATTCCACATGATGTCCATCAGCTGCTGACTTCTTATCTTCCATCTTTCCTCTTTCCAGATATCAAGCAAATCAAGTGGGAAGTAGAGCGTGACAGGTGGCTTCACAACAGGGATGTGAAAAGCATCATCAAAAGGAAAAAACAGTTCAGGCACACAGGGCTGAAAAAGAAGAACAGAGGCAAGAAATCAAAAAGATGAGCTGGGCATCATAATGTAGGCATTTTTACAATAACTACGGCAAAATAATTATTCTCTTTATCAGCCTATCTTACTTTAATTCTTGCTGCTTAACCATGCCATTTGGTCATTCTCCCTTATGCCGTGAATTCCAGACCACTCATTGGATTTGTAATAAACTGAAAAACAGGAAAATCTGTTAGCTGTAACTTAGTGATTTTATAGTTAGTCTGTTTGGACACAGAGCCCTGCAGTTCTGAGGTCTCCATCCAGCACTTCAGACACACTTACATGTAACAACAAACACTTCTGCAGTCTCTCCTGGTGTAGTTTTAAGCAATGATACAATCTGTTTTATACGTAAGATGCAAGAGAAGCTTCAGCCATCTTTCCAAAGCCAGCAAAGACAAACCTACCTTCCAGAATTGATGGAAACCTCTTCTGCATTGTGTATCTGAAGTCTGACAAGAAAGATAAGTCATAGTTACTTATGATATTTTAAGAGAAATAATTAAATACTCTATTTTTCTTATTACTTTTACATAAGTTTGTCCTAGCTCTTTGTTACAGGTTGTTGAATACTGTGATCCACATTTTTTTAAATCATATCAGAAACATATTGAGGCTCCTCCTGTGTGCAGCTCAATCAGATGAGCGTTTTCTGAGCTTCCTCACACTAGTGGTAACTGCATTACAAGCTGCACACCCAAACAAAGCTGAATGAAGCACAGCAGACTGACTTTCAAAGGACTTATTAGGAAACTGATTCCTGACACGGCCTCGGTGTTCAATGAATCCTTTAGGCAGCTTGACTGAACCAACAGAAAATCATGAAATGACAGTTTAATGCTGTTGTAACGATTTGCGCTACTGTTAGTGCAAAGTGATGAAAGCCTTACTCTGAGCACAGCAAGCCAATGCCTGAGCTCACCACACCATGCAGAACTACAACTGAAGAACTTCTACAAGGGCATGTCAGAATGAAGATACAGTACAGAAAGGGGTAGGTGGTGTTCCATTGGAAGTCGGTCTAAAACGACTCTCCTGCTGAAACGGGGAGCTGGTGCTTCACAGCCCCAGCAGCAGGTGCCTTTGGGATCGTGCTGACCCTAGGGTGCCAGGGCTGACTGCCATCTGCAGGGGCGCAGGCCTGTCACAGCACTGCTGAGTCTTGCAGGGCCCCGAGTGCAAAACGAGGCGGCTGCAGCACAGATGGAGCTTCTTTGTATAACTAAGCTGGTGCACGGGTTACTTGTGTGTTCCCTAAGCAGTGAATCAGAAGCATGAGAGGCTTCCGGGACTGACATTACATCATTGGAAGCTGACCCTGGCTGCCCTCTGCACTTGCCAGCTGGGTCTGCTCTCATCTGGAAAACGTCAAATCACAACGCCTGTGAGACCGAGCGGTGAACCTGAGGATCCCTCCAGGGGCTGCAGAGCAGATGCCTGAAACAGGATTCATCGAATCCTGCCTCCGCTGACGGCTACTTCCCCTTAACTACGACAAAGCACAAAACCCCGTTCCGGCATCAGGTAACTTGCGCTGATCTTTGCCGCCAAAAACCCAAACTCGTGCAGAATAAACGCGGCCGTGGTGCAGCGCAATCCCCGGCTCCTGTGGCACCCCGCCCGGCCGCCCCGCCGCACCTCGGCTGCGGTCCATGGCGCGGTAGAGCAGCAGCGCGCCGCCCAGCCCGGCCACCTCCAACGCCACCAGCCCCGCCACCAGCCGCCTCCTCATGGCCGCTGCAGCCCCCGGGGCCGCGCTTCCGGTAGCGCGTGTACAGGCTGCGCACGCGCAGTCAGCCCGCCCCGCCTCTTGGGGCTGCGGTACCTCTGCATCGGCTCCTGCCGCCTGCGCCTGGGCGGGTGGTAGGTGAGCTAGGCGGCGTGGCAGCGGTGTGTTTGAATGGCCTCAGTCAGAAGGGACCCACAAGGACCGTGGAGTCCAATCCCTGGCTTAACACAGCATGGCACCAAATCTAAACCCCGTGTTCGAGAGCGTTGTCCAAACACTGCTTGTACTCTGACACTCGGGGCCGCAGCCCTGTGCAGCCCGTTCCGTGCCCACCACCCTGTGGTGCAGATCCTGTCCCCGACTCCCAGCCGCCCCTCCCCTGACGCAGCTCCATGCCGTTCCCTCGGGCCCTGTCGCTGTCACACAGAGCAGAGCTCAGCGCTGCCCCTCTGCTCCCTGTGAGGAGCTGCAGCCGCCATCGGGCCTCCCCTCAGCTCCTCTGCTCTGGGCTGAACAAACCCAGGAGCCTCAGCTGCTCCTCAGACATCTTCTCCTCCAGACCCTTCACCATCTGTGTGGCGTTCCTTTTGGACACTCTACTAGGTTTATGTCTTTCTTGCAGCGTGGCACCTAAAACAGCCCTCAGTGCTGGAGGTGAGGCCTCAGGGTGCAGAGCAGGACAAGATACGCCCTTTCTTCGCCTGGTGGCAGTGCTGTGCTGGTACACTGCAGGGTGCAGTTGGCCCTTTGGGGCTGACAGAGCACACTGCTGACTCGTATTCTGCTTGTCACCAACCAGAACCTCCCCCCTCATCCCTTTCTGTGGGACAGCTCTCCAAACTCTCATCCCCCAACTTGTCCATAGATCCAAGATTGTCCCATCCGAGGTGTAGAACTCTGCACTTGCTCTTGTTAAAGGTCCTGTGGTTGGTGACAAGCTGAATACGAGTCAGCAGTCTATTCCTCTGTCAAGACCTCTTTGCAAGGCCTCTCTGCCCCAGTTTGGTGTCATCTTCAAACTTCCTTAGTATACCTTCAAGTCCTTTATCCAACTCACTGAAGAGAACTGCCCCTAAAAAGAAGCCTTGAGGAAGCCCACCAGTGACTGCCTGTCAGCCCAATGTATCCTGATTATTACAATCCTTTGAGCCAACCTATTAGCCAGTTGTTCACCCATCACGTTACACTTTAGTCTAGGTGTGTCCTCCCCATTTTGACCAATAGGGTGCTGTGAGAAACAGTATTTTGCTGAAATTGAAAACAGATTATGCCAAATGGCTTCAGTTGGTCGACTATATGGGTAATGTTGCAAAAGGAAATTAATTTTCTTCAGTTCAACTCTCGTGCTGCTGAGCCCAACGGAGGAGCTGCTCTGCCCCTCCTGAACCAGCCCGGTGCCCCTCTGCATGTCCCAGCAGGGAAAATCGTGGCAGATATATAAGACTGCCAATCATTAAAAAGGGACCTTTGTCCCTTTTTAATGAGTCCTTTTTTAATGAGTGTGTTGGAAAAGCCTGCACTACGCCATAGCTCAGTGTTTAATTGTCCTTTTTAACATAAAAAATATGTTTAAAAGCAGTGGGTAGCTACAGTGATATTTTGAAACCAAAATGGTAGCACCGCTTCCTTCTCTGTATTGTTCTTTCTGTTCTATGGTTTTGATTTCATTGTTTTTTGTTACTTGTTACCTGTTTCTCTTATCTGAGGTTGAGTTTATTGCCAAAATCTCTCTTTTTTAAATTCTTAAATTTTTATTAGGCACATTTTTTTTTCCTGAGGCTTTTTTTCATATTAATGTTATGTAAGATTGGATTTAATATCTTGCTGCGTTTTCTTACAGAGCAATTCTTTCCCAATTCAGTATTCTCTGGTGGCTGAGCTCACTAGTATTACTTGCTCTACTTGTTCTCACTGGGATTTGTTCCTGAAGTAACTTCTCCTCTGCCAATTATGGATAGGCAACATCAACCCTGTTTTCATTTTCAGAAAGGTGAGAAGGGAGAAGGGAAAGAAATGATCAAATTCTTAGGTTTGTTTGTTTTGGGTTTTTTTTTAGGTGGGGGGAAGGGGAGATGCGGAAATATCACCAACAGTTTCTGGTCCGCCCCTTAAAAATGTATATTTAAAGGCACTTAATGGCATTAGACCAGTAGTTTCACGTCCCAGCAGAAGTTGGTAACCATGGCTGAGGAGAATAAAGCTTTTGTAGATGAACTAAATAAAGCACTGGCAAAGTCTGAAGGGTTTACCCTGAAGGACATGCTGTTCTCCTACCGGGGGACTCCTTATCCAGTCACAGTGTGCAGCACAGAGACATTCCAAGCCCTGGAGAACCTGGAAGCCAGAAGAGATGATATGGTGCTGGTGTCTTACCCCAAATGTGGTGAATACATTATAAATTACTTTCTGTTGTCTATGGTACAGTAACTAATTAGCTGACACAGTAAGAAGGAAAATAACAAATTAATTATGGTTTTACGTTGTGTGAGGATTATGGGCATTTCTGTTACAAGCAGAGGCAGCAGGTTTTTTCCCTGCTTTATTTAATTATGTGATCTGTACCACTTGTTTTTAGCATGATGTATGCTTCTGAAAGGATGAAATGTTTTAGCAATCAAACTGTTTTGTGAGAGTAAAGACTATAGTTTTTATTTATCAGTGGAGCAAGATACCTCTGCCAGTGTGATAAATTGCATTCTGAAAAGAATATTAGTAATATAATGTAGTGTAATGTGCAGAAGCAATGAAGTTTTACGCATTAGACTCGCAAGGAGTAGGATGTGGCAGTGTGCAGCATCTGTACTTGTAAGATAATAATAATTTTCTTGGCATTGTATTTACTATCATTATTGTATTTTGCTTTGTGATTGCCTTGTGATATATATATATTATGTTATAATATATCATTCTATATGTTATTACATATATATTATATTATTATATTATAGCATACTGGCATTAAAAATCTTGTAGTCAGAGGTCAGCAGAAAGGAAGAAAGGTGCAATAGAAGTGGTGAGGGTAAAAAAAAAACACTCTACAACCAACCAACCTACCAGCTAGCTGATTTTGATCAGTGTTGTGCCTTGTATGACACGTTTACTTACAAAGAAGGGCTGGGTTTTGATAACGAAGGAAGCTCTTTCTAAGCCTATGTTTCTACTTTGAGACGCAAGTAGCAGAAGGTAGGGGCTGCTGAGAGAGCGTGGGTCCAGAGGAGGAATTCAATGCACTAACACAGATGATGTGCTCACATTGAGCTCTAATAGGAAAGTCCTTAGCCAAAATCTCACGCAGCAAAGTGAAGAGCATGGTCAGTTCCTATGGTTTTGTTTTGCTCAGTTCTGATCTGAAAATAAACTGTTGTGCGTTTAGGCACTGAAGAAGTAAGCCTGTGGTGTTTGTAGTAAATATATGCTAGCTGTGATACAGAACATTGAGCCAAGAGAAGGAGAGGGCACACAAAAGTACAAAAGGTGACACAACAAGTGAAATACGCATCTTTGTTTTTGACTTTGATTCTGTTGGCTTTGTGTCCAGGGTTTGGCTGGAACTTATAAAGATAGGCTATAGGCAGAGCTTGGCTTTGATTTCTCATAGAGTTTGGCAGATGTGGAGTTGTAGTACTGCCTGCATCTGAGGTCTGATGGCTGGCTTCCTCTGCCAGCTTCACAGATATTTTCCATGCCAGGCTCAAACTCTATGGTCATACATAATTTTTAGATGATTATGAATATGTTTGATGGCCCTTCAAAACTTTAATGTTGTCCTCATTCCTTTTACTTACTGAGGATTATGAAGGATAAGTTACAATAAAGTCTTGCTATATGTAGCATTTCCCCAAGATCTCGTGTATGCAGTGGGGAGGAAAACTCAGACTGATGCAGAGAGACACATTTGTGAGGTGGGGCTGAGGATGGTTGAGAAGCCAAGAGGGAATTTAGAGGCCAGGCATTTTAGGTTTATCAGTTGTAGATTTTTGTTAAAATAAAATCAGCTTATAGTGGGCAGCTGAAGACATGGGTTTAATGACTCTTAATGATTTCAGCTCTGTTTTTTGTGTAAACAGGAGATTGGGATAAATCTCATGCATAATTAAATGTCTTTTATTTATACAACACCAAATACCTTACGGTTTCTATATATGTAGATGTATTACAAAGCACTGTATGATGTGTATAAACTGCATACACATTATTGTATAAGTATGACACAATCCTGAGCCACTTCATGTAACACAGGGTGGAAGACCTGCTTTCTGGGAATAACTTTTTGAAGTTGAGGTTAAAGCTGAAAGCGTGAGGTTAAAGCTGTTTGCATCCTGTGTGTGTGCTAGTGCCTCTGTCAGCTGCATTCATGGGGGACTGGTGACACACAGGAGGCTGAGGCAGCTCTCTGCAGCCACAGCTCCATGGCCTCAGTGGGAAGCCCTGCAAGTGCATCTCTGCAAGGCCTTTGGAGGATGCTGTGGTCTGTGGTGAACACACTGTTCCCTCAGTCTGTCCCATCAGCTGTCATTGGGGCATCCATAGAGTTCTGGAAAACCTGAGGGCAACACAAAGCAGCTGCAGGAGGGCATGGAGCAGGGAGGAAAGTGTGCTGCTCCAGCAGGTCTGGCACCCAGCCCATCATGCATGGTAGGTCTTCACTGCAAGGTAGGTTCCAATGGGAAAGATGCAGGCGTCTGGTGGGCTGCAGCTCCTCTAGCCCTTCTTCTGGCAGTCATTTTGTGGAGAAAGCAACAGGCACAGTGTGGGACAAGTGCTGCTGGTAATGCTGAATAGATGGCTCTGTTTCATCCTTGACTCAGTGCAGGGAGAGGGGCAGAAAATTCTGACAGATGAATGAAACTCCTTGTTCATTCCTTCCTACTCCTAGCTGGACACTTCCCAAGTGTTTCTCTGTAAATGACAGGAAAGCTGCCTTTATTGTCTGTCACTGATTGTTTTATGATATATTAAAAATACGCGACATATTGTGTCAATTCTACTCCTGATGCTTTCCACATATCATTTGTAAGTGAGCCAAGAAGGTCACAGTTAAGAAGCTGTTGAGGATCTTGTTAACAGAAAGCATTAATTTGTTTATAGTCATTTGAGAGCTTTAATTTTATTTGAATCTGTAATTTGATGACTATTATTGTCTATTATGCTGAATTAAGCCATGTAATGAGAAGGCTCTGAGATCTTACATAAACCTCTCATATGTTTTGTTTTGTTCTCTGGGTTTCTTGATCCAGGTGTGAATTGGCTTATCCAGATTTTAAATGATTTGATATTTACAACTATTCAGAGTAAACCTGTAAGCACAGAGCTACCATTTATTGAATGTGGAGATCCAGATAAATATCAGGTTAGTGAAAAGAACCTACTTCAAGTCTGTAGTTTTCTCTCCTGCACCCCCGCAAGCAAGTTATTAAAATGAAGTCATGTAGCAAGTAAAGATATTTCTCCTGAGAGGGTAAAAAAGGATAATCTTGGATGAGTAATGCCTTTTGATTAGGAGCTGCTTCACGCAGGCGACTCATGCTGGCAGATTGTTGCTGCACCCATGTAATAAACCTGTTCTCACTTACTGTTCTGTTTATTTCTAAAGAGGATGAAGCAGATTCCATCTCCAAGGATTTTGGCAACACATCTGAATTATGATTTCCTCCCGAAGTCTATTTTCAAGAACAAAGCCAAGGTGGACTTTTTTCTTTTTCTTTTTAAATCCTTCCTCTTCCTAAGAGCAAGCCTAATTTCATTGGCAGCACTAACATGCATGAATATCATTTGGGGCTACATCCTTTTCTTGCACCCTAGCAAATGTCATTGAGGGAAAAGAACTTGGAACTGGAACAAGTTGCCCAGGGAGGTTGTGGATGCCCCATCCCTGGAGGCATCCAAGGCCAGGCTGGATGTGGCTCTGAGCAGCCTGGTCTGGTGGTTGATGGCCCTGCACATAGCAAGGGGGCTGAAACTCGATGATCATTGTGGTCCTTTTCAACCCAGGCCATTCTATGATTGTATGACCTCTGGACTGTCTTAGCACAAAAACATTAGTGGTACATAAACGAAGAACAGATCTAGAAGCTGTCATGGTGCTCAAAAAATGGTTGAAGTGTCATGCTCTCCTCTTCTATGCTACTCTTATCTACATATAGCCACGGTAAGAATTAATGTGGCAGCAGTACCTCTTGAGACCCTGACTGTCTCCATATAGAATTACATTTAAAAAATTTCAATATTTCTGGTTCCAAGTCACTCAACAACGAAAGGTACATAGCAGTTAAGTACATAGCAGTTAGAAAATGTACCACAAATGAAAGGAGGAACTAGTTAAGGAATGCGGGTTTTAGCCATGTTCTATGAGTATTTTTTTCCTGTTTTATGTATAGCTTGTTCACAGAAGTGTTTACTGTCTCCAAGGATTGCAGTTTCTTAGGATTTCAAATACATTGTTGCCATGCTTTGAAAAACGGGAGATGATTGTAGCAGCTGTGGTTTCCTGAAGAAGAACGAAATGGAGCTTTTCCTACCAGTGGGCTGGTGAATGGTTCTTTCACATTTCCCAGGTTTGGGGTAGTTAAGAGATAGTTTTCCATAACAGTACTACAGTTTTTCCAACTGCTCCTTCCTATAGTTGCTTCAGGGCTATAGGCAAATCTTAGGAGTGGTTACAAGGCCTTTATTATGACATGTTATAAACTTGTTCTCTATGCCTTACCTAACAATGAAAATATTTTGTGGTCCCTGCTAAGTTATTGATTGCAGAATGTTTGGTTTTACTGTCATTTTGGTTGCCAGGGGAAATAAATGATCTAAAGTTGTTGATCTCTTTCTCCTGCTCCAGATACTAGTGTTGTTTCGAAACCCTAAAGATACAGCTGTTTCATTTTTTCATTTCCACAAGAATGTGCCAAGTGTCCCCAGTTACAGCTCCTGGGATGAGTTCTTCTCAGAGTTCATGAATGGGAAAGGTATGGTAATAGTTACTGAATGTAGCTGAAGAAACAACAGAAGAAAATATTTGAAAACATCTAAATGGGACTAGTGGGAAAACAGCTGTGTCATAATTAATTCACTGGTGGCCATACCTCATGGTAAAGGAGATAGCTAAATGCAAAAATGGGGAGAAAGCCCAAAAGATACTTTGCTTCTGGATATTTTGCTCTTGCAAGCAAGGGGAGTTGCCTGGCAGCTTGATAATGGCACTGGGATAAAATCCTGCCAGTTAGTAATGGAGGCAGTGCTACAGATCTGAAATGATGGCAATGGAATGACTGTTTGTTGTGTTCCCATATACGAGGCCACAAACCCTGTAAGGAACTTAGATTTTAGATTTAGAATGATGTTTAGCTTTGGCTCTTAAGAGATATCTTTAATGACAATGGAGGGGAAGCACATGGGAAGTACATGTTCCTGTGTGGAAGCCACCTACCTACAAAAGTCCAATGGAAGTCAGTATTGTTCTGATATGCAGTATGGTACCACCTAAAGGACAGACTGTTCTGTTTTTCTTCATGGACGTAACTGGTGAGCCACAGAGAGCAATCCTTCAGTCAGAGGGAAATAAGCACACAGCAGTAAAAAGGGATCACACTGATGCTTTTTTCTCTTCACAGTTGGCTGGGGATCTTATTTTGACCATGCAGTCACCTGGAACAAACACATTGACGATGAGAACACTATGATTGTAATGTATGAAGACCTGAAAGAGGTAAAGCAGTCACTATGTACTTATGGTCAAGACACATCTGAACCCATTTCCTGAAAACTGCTGAAATTAGAAGCAAATAGCACAGGTTTCTGAAAACAAAATCAAGTATCCACTTAGGAACAAATTGAATCTGGCTATATAAAAACTGAGCTCCAGTGTAACATACAAAATGTACTGTGAAGGAAGATGGTGTTAGTAGGTGATGGCCATGTGTGTCCCGAGTGGGTAGGTCCTTTTTTAGAGGAAGCACATAATATGATCCCCTCTCGCTGCATTGTTTTCAGAATCTGGCTTCTGGTGTAAAGCAAATAGCAGAATTCTTTGGATTCTCCCCAGCAACAGAGCAGATCCAGTCCATTGCAGACAGGGCTACTTTCCAGGCAGTGAAGAACAAGGCTCAGGAGACTCATGGTGCTGTTGGCACAGTTCTTTTCCGCAAAGGTAAATTTGTTTACAGCAAATAAGCAGCATATTTTGCAAGGTTTGTGAATGGTAGTGCTGCATCTTGGACAAATGGATTTGGATGAGTAAGTGATTAATTTTTATGCATAATTTTTGGGGTTGGAACTTACGAAACACTGCTGGTGCTTCAGAATGCTATCAACTGATTTCATCATAAGTGCCAGTATCATTCAGAAAAGCCCTGCATAATGTGGTTAGCAGAAGTGCCTTCCAGGTAGCACACCCTTTGGTCACGGTTTGCAGCAAGCACCAATTAAAGCAAAGAGTTTTGTTTTGGCTTCTGTGACTACTGAGGTTAGCCTGGCACTTGATCTGCAAAGTATCTCCAAAGATTTTTCTTCTTGGATTTCCTAAATAACCTTTGTGGTTGCCTAGGAACCTCACTCAATTTGTTGAATCCAGATGCTCTACAGGTTGAGCCATGCCTTTTAGCTGTGGCTAATACTAGAGCTGTAGACCCAGAATACCTCAGCAGTGAACTCCCCCAAAACCTAGATCACAAGTAGACTGCAGCTTAGGGTAGTGTCTGGTTGTGCACACTACTCTCTCACAGTTAAAAGCCATATCTTTGAATTTTTTGAGTTCTTTTCATAGCTGCTGATCATCTTTTACAGACATCTGCAACAGCATAAGGCAAAAGGCAGACCAGTAGCTTTCCATGTCCCACTTCTGTTCACATTCTCTTAAGGACACTGAAAGTAAAGAAGCAGAGTGTATTCCTTGATCAGATTCTTTTTTAAAGTGGATTATCCTGAAATATAACAAGAGGCATGATGTTTTAAACCATACTCCCTTGTCCTTACATTCAGGGCTATTGTTTCACTTTTCTTTATATTCCAGGTGTTGTTGGGGACTGGAAAAATCTTTTCACTGAAGCTCAGAATCAGGAAATGGATGCCAAATTCAAAGTATGCTTAGAAGGAACCAAGCTGGGAGCAAAGCTAAAATATGATGTGTACTGCAAGGCCTGAGCTTCTGTTAAGGAGAAGTCTAACATCTAGGCTGCATTTTGTTCACTTTCATGTAATCAAAGAGAAAATAGAACAATATCTGATCTGAAATTTTAAAAAATCCGTGTATTTTGCAAACATGTTTGTGCTGTCTTGCACAAGCAATCCTCATTCTTACAGTTTATAGTGTCATTGACTTGACTGATTTCTCTTGTTTTTTAAAACTGATTTTTAGCCATGATTTTGTGTGAAATTTATATGCAGTAGTTGAACCTGCTGAAATCACTGGAAATGTGTTCGGTAAGTTGGAAGTGACCTTCCATGAGATTTTTTAAGCCAATCATTAGGTGTCTTCTTGATTTTCAGATTTGGAAATGTGTAGTATTTCGGTTTAAAGAGAAATTTCAGAATGTTTTTTTTTTGTTGTTGTTGTTATCACTTTCTCTGTAAGGTAGAAAGTTTCCACCTCTTTTGGCATGAATATTTTTCATTGCTTTGGAATAAAAAACGATGAATGTTAGTGGAAGTTCTAACTCTGAGCAATTGAAGGAATTGTCCGGGGCAGAAGTTGCTCGTGGAGGTTGGAGTGAGGATTGAAGAACAAAGTAAGCCAAACACTAAACCAAACCAAATCAGAATGAATTGTTTTAATACCAAACAAGTGAAGTTGATGAAGCTTTTCGAACTAATCCCAAGATCCGTACAAGTGGAAAATACAGCTGTGTTCCTTATGTATTTGCTTCAGCTGTAATAGGCCCTACTGGAACAGTAGGTTAATGTCATTGCTAAGAAATATATAAAAGGAAATTCAAAAGATTCTGATTGAAGATGATGTTGAAAAAGGAATACCAATCTCTAGTAAAGCAGGTTGCATGAATTGCTTGACCAATAACAGCCAGTCTACCTGCTTAAACTGCCATCTTTTTCCATTTAAGATTTTTCTGAAGTATTCCAGGACAGTTAAAGAGAAAATTCTGTATCAAGATGCTAAATAGACTACTTTTATGTTTTTACACCTTTAGATCAGCAAGATTATTTAAGCTAAGGTTGCTTAGCCATATGAAGTAATATTTTATAGATGACATTCTTACATTAATAATCTGCAGCCACTTCTCAGCACATTCAGTCAGTGATTACCAGCCAAGAATGAGCATTAAAGCATACTGAATATAAGACTGTTGAGTGTGAGGGGCAGCTGATTTGTTTGCAGCTGTGTGTTTTAGTTTCTGTTCTGTTAAAAATGAAAGCACATCTGAAATCTAAATGTCATATCACTAGAGAAAGAGAGAATTTTTACCTTCCTCAAACACATTCAGAATGGAAAAGCACTGTGAAATGTTTTCAGACGGTGGCATTGAAGGTCAAACCCAATAGCCCATAGTGTTCACAGCTTTGACAGCAGCTAAACAACAACAAAAAAAAAACACCACATCCCAACAGAAAAATTAAACTCCTCATTGTGGAAAATCACCACTCATGTATTTTATTCTTTCAGCCATATGCATAGACAACAGTTTTGGTTCTACATTTTCCATTTATATTTTGTATTATATATATGTGTTCCCCTTTATACTTGTTCTTATGGAACTTGTAGTAAAACTTTAAGTGGTATTTTAACACATTAAAGAATATATTGGATCATTTGCCTTTCAAAGAAGAAAATTTTCACTCCCTGACTACAGGCTTTGACTTTATTATTATTATTTTATTATTATTATTTTATTCTATTTTTTATGTCTTGTTTTGCACTTACATTTTCTAACAGTCGTAAGTATTTATAGTATCTATGTTATAGTAACTGGTAAATGCTGCTCTATTAGTACTTCTGTCATCTCCATTTCCCTTATGAGCTGCTCAATAACAAACATAAAGCAGGAAAGGATATTAAAATTATCTTGAAAAAGAGAAGTTCAAGGTCTTCTTGGAAAAGAGAAGCATAAATGTATCTTTCTAATGCTCCCTTGTGTGTGTTCAGGGTGTCAATAACCCAGTGGAAAAGAATTCTGTTCCTGAATTGTAATAACGGTACAATGGGATCAAAGCAGACAGAACTGAGCTCAATTTTCTCATTTAAACATGCACACATTTTATATTGCAGCATTATGCAGTACATTAATTGGAAAGATAATTAATGTTGAATTACAATAGAAGTGCTCTAAAAGTACAAGGCGCATATGACATCCACAGGAACATCAAATAATTCTTTTCTGAGGGTATGCTGGTTATTAGAATGGATGCCAAATGGATTTATAATGAAGGGGGATGTGAAGCAAATCATACCAATCTCATAATAGCAAATGCCTGGACTTGTATCTAATGTTGTCTCTTTAGGAAAAGCCCTAACACCGATCTCTATTTTGGCTGAAAGATCACCTTTGGTGGGGAACAACACCTTCTGTTCTACTCTTAACATTCTGCAAAGCTTGGCAACATCCACAAAAGGTGCTGAAACGAGACTGGTCAGTGGTTGTTCTGAATGTTAATGTTGTCAGGATTGATGCAAAGGAGAGAAGTAGAAAACAACATAATGAATGACAGCATACTCTATCAGTGCTACGCCTGAGCACCTCGCGGAAGTGCTCTGGTAAAATGTTGTTTACATTCAGATACTTATGGAAATGGATACAGTTATGATGAATTGTAGTCACACTTTTTATTTGTAGATTGGATAATATGAAGCAATTGCCAATGTAATAGTGTATGGATGGTTAGTATTGACACAGTCTAGATTATGCCTACTTATGTCAGCCATAGTCAGCTAGAATTGAGGTTCTAGATATGGTACTGGGACTGGATTACCAGCTGCTTAGAGAGCAAGACTTGGTTTGGGAGCTCTGGGTAATAATGATGGCAGAAGGTATCACTGCTGACAGTGTCACATGAGGAGAGGGTGCTGTCACACATCCACCTAAGAAAGCATCAAGGTGCACCCCTATCACTCTTCTCTCCTCGTGGCTCTTCTCCTTGCCACAATCAGTGAAAACCAGATCTTTGTTCAAACTGAAAGGCAGAGTGAGCAACAAAGTGACTCTCTGCCCTCCCTCCTTTCTTTACAAAGCTGTAAAGGTGTTAGAATAAAAATATGGTATGGAGGTCAGGAAGGGCCTACCGTGGTGTGTGTTTGATCTTCTGGTGCCAGGTGTTTGGCACTGTCTGGCTTTGCAACCAAATTAGGGTCAGCTGGTGCTGGGAGTGGGCTGAGTATCAACTTGTCCCTTCTCCCAGCTGCCTGAAAATGTAACAGTAGAAATGTGTAAGTGCTGTGCTTAGTCTTACAAATACTCAGTTTACATCTGAATGGAAAGTTTTCCGTAAGATCATTTGGCTTCTGCAAATCCTTTAGAAGCTTAAGGAAGATAGAAAAATATTCTTCGACTTGGCTCAAAATGTGAAGCAGGCAGGAAATGAAAGAAGGCTCTGAAACTAGTGTCTTGGGAGGTTTGTGTACTTGTGAATAATGTAAGCTTATTGGCATATGCATGTTGAGTCTCCAGTGAGTTCCCTGCTGTTTTGCATTTACAAGCCAATGAAGCTGTTTTCATTACTACAACGCTCATTAGCATTCCCCCAGCAGGTAAATAAGTCATAGATTCATTACTGTGTATTTCCGCTGTATCCATAGGCAAAATATTTCTATTCAGAGGAAAAAATAAAATACAAGATAATCCACATTAGCCATGTGCCCCAAAAAGTAAAAACAAAAGCAACAACAAAACCCTACTGAAAACAAGCAGCCCCCCAAAAGGAGTAGTTACGAAGAAAAAGGAAGGATGTATCTTTTCACAAAGCACAGAGAGTGACTGGAATAGCTGCTGCAGATTTCCAGACTTTTTTCTTTTGTTCTTTATACAAGTACTGATCCTGTGTATGCTTTTTCTTTTCTTTTCTTTTCTCCCCCCAACACACTCCACTATCTTCTTCCTGTTGGCATAGAATTATTTTTGTTTTTTGATTGTTAGTTGTTTAGAGAGCTGTTTTCCACCTTTTGTTTTGTTTTATTCTGGCAAGCTACAGGGTTTGTCTTCACTTGCTAGTTGCAGGCTTCTGAGCAGCTGTCTTTCTAGTGGCTTTGGCACCAGATGCACTGTCACTGTTTACCCCACAGATTTACCCCAGTGTTGCTGAGCTGAGGTATTGCTTGGTGGAGCCTGCCTCTGCCGAGATTCCATTTAGCAGCCATCCAGACCTCTACATGAAACAGGTTCAAGAGGATGGGAAGTTATCTGGAGTAGGAAATAGGGAAGTGACAGAGATTGGGCTGCCCTGTGCTCAGCTGCCCTGAGCTGAAGTTGAGGCCTAGATGCCCAGCAGCGCCACCTCAGACTTGAGCCCTGTGGCCATCACCGCCCCCAAGCAAAGGTTGTGGAAGGAAAAAAGTTCACTTCTCCTCAGGAAAGTGGAAAAGCAGGGTGAAGGAGCAGAGGACTGCAATTGCAGCCCAGGTGTGCACGCAGGGCAGCTGGAGCTGAGGGCTGGTGGTGTGCACCTGTTGGCTGGGGGAGGGGAGGATCGTGCTCTCCTGGGCTGTCTGGTAGATGCTGCGTGGGTGCTCTTAAAGGTAAGATAAACTGTTCTTCTCTAATATTTGAAAAATATTGTTCAGCTCTCAGACTGCACTGGGGCAAATATGCGGGGGAATCAGTTCCTTGTGACTTAGTTCTGTCAGGCAGGCTCTGGTGTCTGCGGTCATGGTGTGGTGGTGGAACTGGGCCTCCTACCTGCCTTGCACATGTGATGGGTGCGTTTCTGTACAGCCAGAGGCATGCAGAGCAAAAAGCAGTTTAAGTGCCATCTTTAACACGTATGCAGAAACTCTGCAGGGAAACAAATGTGTTTGAGTGCTGTGGCTTGTTCAGTCTTCCACACAGCAGAGAATAACGCTCGGGGTGGAGCTGTAAACAAGGCAATAAACAATCTTCTGCAGTTATCAACTGTGAATTTCTCTGTGGTATATAATTGCTTTGCAAGCATTTTATGCCTCTCCGGCCCCTGTGCCCTGTCTACTGTCATTCTAAATAAGATCTGAAGCACAGGAGATAGAGAGCGTATTTTGTTTCTGAATGATTTCAAAGTTTCAGTGCAATGCAAGATGGGCCCTCTAGGGCTCTCTCTTGTTGCATTTTTCACTGACAGTGTTTTGAATAGTTTACAAAATAGGGCCGTACAAGTGCTTTGTCCGTAAATGAATTGTGTGCTGAAAGCCCAAGGGCATGGAAAGAGAAGAAAAATGCATTAATACAAAAAGACAACTATGTAATGTAGTACACTAGGTATCATTATTAACTGCTGTAAATACAAAGCTATTTGCCAGCATGAGAGACTCTCCAGAATAGCAATAATGGAAGCAGCTTGCATTTGTTTCAGAAGGAAGCCTGTTCAAAGTTCAGAATTGAGTCAAAGCTATTGAAGGTAAAAGTAGGAAAAGAGACAGTGTTAACTTGGGTACGGTGATGCGGTTGCTGCTGTTTTGTAGTACAAAAGTGAAGATGAATGCTGGTGTACCAAAGAAGAACGTATATCAAAAGAATCAATATGGCAAATTGCATTTATTGAGTAGGAAACAGTTCAGCTTGAATAAAAAAAAGAGAAATCAAACCAAATGTGGCATCTGATTACAAAAGAATGAACATAAATACAGAATGAAATGAAACAAAAAAACCCCCAAAGTTAGACTATGATCCCTTTGGGCCAATTGAATTCCTCTTGCCTACCTGCCCACGGATTAAATTTGCATTAAATTTGCATTAATTTACATAAATGAACATGAAATTCTTTTTTGTGATACAGAGGCTTCCAGCACATCTCTCTCGGTGTTGAGGAGGACAAGGACACAAGCAGTAATGAATTCTGTGTTCTGTAATTGGCTGCATCCTGCTCTTTGCCTCTGTAACCCACATGTGGCAGCACAGTTCTTTGCTGCTGCATCCTCTGCACGTTGTATGGCCAGCCCACTGTCTCCTGAGCCAGTGATGGGGAGTGCTTCCTCGGCATAGGAACTATTGAGACGCTAGAGAAGTTTTGAAATGAGCATAAGGAGAGGAAAGGAACTTAGAAAGAAACATATCTACTTCCTCCCCCCCTCCTCCCCTTCAAATAAGGTAATAACCTTTGACGCCTGCTGATTACAGCCCTGTAGAAGTGACACTTTCTTATTTTGCAACTCTGGAGCCTAAAGGGAGAGGTGGATGCCAAAACCCAAGAAGCGCTTTCAGGCTGTGTGTTCCAGCTTCCCATCTGTGCCTGTCTCTAGGAAGGTGGTTTTGCAGATATGCTGTGTTTTGCAGACTTTTCCAATAGTTAGCTGAAGCTGTCTGCTCTCCCTCTGTCTCTCTCATTCAGTGTACTGGATAATAGTAACCTTGCTCTTGGGTATTTACTTCTCATTCTCTGCATGCGAAGATCCAGCTTGCCTTGCTGGGTTGTTTGGTTCGTAGGTTGATTGCTCTGAACTTCCAGTTGCTCACCTTGAGGTGTCTATCAGAGCTCTTTCAGTGCATGCTTTGTTTAGATCTTCGGTTTGGGTCAATAGCTCTGTATAGTCTTGCAAGGGCAAGCAGCCCTCAGGCATTTATGCTGAGGTGCTGTGGTTACGGTGCTTTGCAAAGGAGCTGTCCTGACTTGTTCTGGGGCAGGGAAAGTGCATTGGCTTGCACTGAAAACCTGGTGCCTTTTTCTG